CCAGAGAGTTCATTAATAATAACAATAACAATTTATTATTTATACCCTGCCCACCTGGCTGGGTTTCCCCAGCCACTCTGGGCGGCTCCCCATCAAATATTAAAAACACAATACAGCATTAAATATTAAAACCTTCCCTAAACAGCATTAAGGTAAAGGTAAAGGGACCCCTAACCATTAGGTCCAGTCGTGACCGACTCTGGGGTTGCGGCGCTCATCTCGCTTTATTGGCCGAGGGAGCTGGTGTACAGCTTCCGGGTCATGTGGCCAGCAGGACTAAGCCGCTTCTGGCGAACCAGAGCAGCGCACGGAAACGCCGCTTACCTTCCCGCCAGAGAGGTGCCTATTTATCTACTTGCACTTTGACGTGCTTTCGAACTGCTAGGTTGGCAGGAGCAGGGACTGAGCAACGGGAGCTTATCCCGTTGCGGGGATTCGAACCGCCGACCTGATCGGCAAGTCCTAGGCTCTGTGGTTTAACCCACAGCGCCACCCGCCTCCCTTATTAAGCATTAAAACCTTCCCTAAACAGGGCTGCCTTCAGATGTCAAACAGTGACAATTTGTTGTTGACAAAAGGACAGCTGGACATATAAAGGGCCCCGTTACCTTCAGTAACTGAGGGCCTCATCAAACCTAAATGCGGCCCTGAGTCCAGCTACACAGCTGGAATGCATTTTAGCGACGTCAACTGTGATAGAAAACCGCGTTTCTCTTCCCCTCTCGTTTGGGTTCAGGTGGACGGATTCACTCACCTGTACACGCTGGTTCTAAGACCCAACCTCACGTACGAAGTGAAAATCGATAACAAGAGGGTAGCGTCCGGCGACTTGGAAGAAGACTGGGATTTCTTGCCCCCGCGGAAGATAAACGACCCGACGGTGAGGAAGCCGGAGGACTGGGATGACGTTGCCGAAATCGACGACCCAGAGGACACCAAGCCGGAGGTGATTATTACTGCCCTGCTCTGGTGTGGGGGGTGAGCTGTGCCCTAGAGCTGCTGGCTTTAAGGCCTCAGAAGCAGGAAGCCCAGAGAGCCCACCCCAGGCAGAACAGGTGTGTCTTTACAGCCTCTGATCCCCCTTTGGGCTGAAGGTGGGGGCAGAGGAGGAGCTGGGCCTCTCAATCCTCCCCTTTGACACCTGCTAGCATTTCAGTCACCTTAATGAACAGCTGAGTCGCATCCCTTGTGGCTTTCCCTGAGACCTGGGCAGCGTTTGCTAATTTTGCTTATTTTCTCTCTCTCTCCCCCCCCCCCCCCATTTCTCCCTCTGCAATAGGACTGGGACGTCCCCGAGTACATTGTAGACAACAGCGCAGAGAAACCCAAGGACTGGGACGTCGTGGCGCAAGGCCCCTGGGAGCCCCCCCAGCTCAAGAATCCACTTTACCGGGTAGGGCAGCTCCTTTTCCAGTCACGGGGGGGGGGGGGGCTTGGAGATGGAAGCTGGGTGGCTCTTTGCATTTGTCTAGCTGTTGGTTTAGCTTTTAAACTCGCTTTCTGCGTAACTGCCTTTCGTTTCTAAATCGCAATTGTTTCCACTGCGCCGCAAGACGTTTTGAGATGCCTCATAAGTGAAATTGAATTGCGAGAAGAAATGGCTGGCTTGGTCCACAAGCGCTGAGGCCCTGTAATAATGATAATTAATAATTAATAATAATTTATTTATTTATACCCCACCCATCTGCCTGGGTTTCCCCAGCCACTCTGGGCGGCTTTCAACAGAGCATTAAGAGCAGAATAATACTTCAAACATTAAAAGCTTCCCTAAACAGGGCTGCCTTCAGATGTCTTCTAAAAGTCAGATAGTTGTTTATTTCCTTGGAATCTGATGGGAGGGCGTTCCACAGGCAGGGCGCCACCACCAAGAAGGCCCTCTGCCTGGTTCCCCGTAACTTCGCTTCTCTCAGGGAGGGAACCGCCAGGAAGCCCTCGGGAGATGGACCCCGGTGTCCGGGCTGAACGATGGGGTTCTCTAACATCCTGTGGCTTCTTCCAGGGGGAATGGCAGCCCCGGAAGATCCCCAACCCCAGGTTCAAAGGCATCTGGCCTCACCCGCAAATCGCTAATCCGGAGTACGTGCCAGACACCACCATTTCCATCTACGAGAACATCAGCGTCATCGGCCTGGACCTGTGGCAGGTCAGTGGGGTTTCCCGTTTTCTGTTCCCCACAAAGGCCAGTCCGGGGGGGGGGGGGACTAGCCTCCAGCTTCTGCTCAGCTCCTCTCCCTCCTTTGCCCCAGAGGCCATCTGCAGTGGGCTCTGCGGCCCAGAAGGGCTGGAGAGCCAGGATGAGGGCAGGCCAGGCCGCCAGGGCAACCCCACAATCGAACATGGTTTTTTGTTCTGGTAGCCTTTCGAAATGGGGCATGAACGTCCCCAAAAAATGGGAACCTTTGGCTGGGAGCAAGGTGTGCAGCGTCTAACAAGGGACACTCTCTCGCAGGTGCGATCGGGAACCATTTTCGACAACTTCTTGATCACCGATGACGAAGGATACGCGGAAGAATTTGGGGACGAGACCTGGGGGGAAACAAAGGTATCAGAGGTCCTGCCCGACCCAGCAGGGCCCAGGGAAAAAAGGGGGCAGCTTCCTCTCCTGGGTTTATTTACATCTATCTCTGGGCATCGCCCGCTCTGTGAGACGGGTCGCTGGCCCTGGCGTGGCAACCAGTTGCCCCAGTCTCTCTAGTCCCTGACTGGGGGGTTCTCTGCCTCCTGAAACGAGGCTCTTTCCAGCTCAGTGGAGACTGGAGGGCCGTGTTTGGGGGGCTTGGGCCGGCCGGTTCCTCCAGGTGCCCAATTTCCTCCAGGTGAGGTGGGCAGCGGAGAGGATTCTCCCTCAAACTTGTTTGCTGGGCGGAAAACTCTGCAGGTTCTGATCCGCAATCCCCCTTCCAGGAACCCGAGGAGAAAATGAGTAAGCAGCAGATTGAGGAGGAGAAGCAGCGGGAGCGAAGGGAAGCCGAGGAGGAGGCCAAAAAGAAGAAGAAGAAGAAAAAGAAAAAGGAGAAGAAAAAGAAGAAGGAGAAAAAGAAGAAGAGGGAAACGGTCCCAGAGACGAGGATTGTGGCACAGAAGGAGGAGCTCTGAATCTCCTTCTCAGGCCTGGACTGGGAAATTTGGGGCTGGGGGAGGGAAGGGGCAGGAAAGGGTTGTATTTATTTTTACGCTGTTCAAATGTTCCTGGAAAAGCCTTATTGCGAAGAGAGGGGTGCAGAGAGGGAGGGGGGGCCTTTTCAGTGAATGTAGCTCTGGAAAAGTTCAATAAACAGGCAAAGTTCCTCTGCCCCGTTCAAATGTTCTTTGCTTTCCTGGGCGAAAAGGGTGTGTATTTGGGGAGGGGGGGCCAAACTAACCAAAACCAGGGAGCTGCTGCCTCCGGGCTCCCCTCTAGCGGCCCCCTCCTCTCTCCCACCCCACTCCCACCTGCCATGTGGCCCAAAGAAATCAGGTTTCTTTTGGGGGGAGAATCCCACTCCTGCCTTCATGTGTCCAGGGAAAGGGCATCCTTTATCTTTACATTATCCTGGCTGATGGCAGCTGCGGCCCAAAACACTGGGGAGGGGGCTGCTCAGCAGAGGCTGCCTCACAGCTTGCTAGTAGAATAGCAGAATCCTAGATTTGGAAGTGGGACACCAAGGGTCATCCAGCCCAACCCCCTGAAAAGGCAGGAATCTTTTTGCCCAACGTGGGGCTCAAAGCCACGACATGGGTGTAGACAGGGGTTTTTTTGGTAGGCAGGTTTTGTGGGGGGGGGGCAGAACCTCAGATTTGTATTGATTTTGATTGATTACCGGGGGGCAGCTGTCCCCCTGTCCCCAAGGGCCCCTGTATTTCAATCCCAGATTTAGAGAAGCCGTCCTGGTTTCTGATTTGATCCTTGGGGCGTCCCTCTTTCCAGGGGAGAAACGTTGGAGGGGATGGAATAGGACGTCCCTCTTTTCAGGGGAGAAACGTTGGAGGGCATTGCATCCCCTGCCTCTGAGCATGTGCAAAGAGCGCCTCCTGGAGGGGATGGAATGTTGTTGTTATTGTTGAGTCGTTTAGTCGTGTCCGCCTCTTCGTGACCCCCTGGACCAGAGCACGCCAGGCCCTCCTGTCTTCCACTGCCTCCCGCAGTTTGGTCAGGCTCATGCTGGTAGCTTCGAGAACACTGTCCCACCATCTCGTCCTCTGTCATCCCCTTCTCCTTGTGCCCTCCATCTTTCCCAACATCAGGGTCTTTTCCAGGGAGTCTTCTCTTCTCATGAGGTGGCCAAAGTCTTGGAGCCTCAGCTTCAGGATCTGTCCTTCCAGTGAGCACTCAGGGCTAATTTCCTTCCGAATGGAGAGGTTTGATCTTCTTGCAGTCCATGGGACTCTCCAGAGTCTCCTCCAGCACCAGAATTCAAAAGCATCCATTCTTCGGCCATCAGTCTTCTTGATGGTCCAGCTCTCACTTCCATACATCACTACTGGGAAAACCAGAGCTTGAACTATACGGACCTTTGTTGGCAAGGTGATGTCTCTGCTTTTTAAGATGCTGTCTAGGTTTGCCATCGCCTTTCTCCCAAGAAGCAGGCGTCTTTTAATTTCGTGGCTGCTGTCACCATCTGCAGTGATCATGGAGCCCAAGAAAGTCAAATCTCTCACTGCCTCCATTTCTTCCCCTTCTGTTTGCCAGGAGGTGATGGGACCAGTGGCCACGATCTTCGTTTTTTTGATGTTGAGCTTCAGACCACATTTTGGAATAGGCTGTCCCTATTTTCAGGGTAGAAACGTTGGAGGGGGTGCCATCCCCTGCCTCTGAGCATGTGCAAAGAGCTTCTCGGCAATGCAAAGAGCGCCTCTGAGCCTGGGTTGGGCAGGGAGAGAGGAGCGGGTGGCGACCGCCCCTGAGCATGTGCAAAGAGCGCCTCCTCTTGCGGCGGCTGCGGCGTCGCCGCTTCCCATCCCGGCCGGCAGGTGTCGCTGCTCCGCCTCCCTCCCTGACTCCGCCCCCTGGCGGCCCCGCCCCCCGCCCCGCCCTCGAGGAGGAGGAGGAGGAGGAAGATGGCGGCGCTTGGCCCCCTCGGCGGAGGAAGCGGCAGCGGCGGGGCGCAGGTAGCCGGCGGGGAGGGGAGGGGGTGTCCCCTTGGGGGCCAGGAGGGGCCCTTGTGGGGGGGGCGAGGGCGTGGAGACCCCTCCCCACCGGAGGGGAGGGGGCAGCAGCTGGGGGGCGCCCCCACCCCACATTGCAGACGGGGGGGCTGAGCCAGGCAGGCAGGGAGACCCTCACCCCACCCCCCCAAATTGGAAGATCGCCTCATCCCCCCCCCCGCAATGATATGCATTGGAGGGTTTCCTGGGAGGGAGGAGGGGCTCCCCCTCCCCCACCTCTCCCCCCACCAGAGGGGCTGAAAGGGCTGAGCCCCCCCTTCCCCCCACACCCAATAGGTCCCCCTCCCACATCCTAAGTGCCTGGGGAGGGAGGGGGGCTTCAAACCATTTCCCCTTCCTCCCCCCCCCCACAAGAGGGGCTGAGTCCCCCCCTCCCACATGCTAAGTGCCTGGGGAGGGAGGGGGGCTTCAAACCATTTCCCCTTCCTCCCCCCCCCACAAGAGGGGCTGAGTCCCCCCCTCCCACATGCTAAGTGCCTGGGGAGGGAGGGGGGCTTCAAAGCTTCCCCCTTTCCTCCCACCCCCCCACCAGAGGGGCTGAGCCCCCCCATAGGTCCCCCTCCCACATGCTAAGTGCCTGGGGAGGGAGGGGGGCTTCAAAGCTTCCCCCCTTCCTCCCCCCACCCCCCACAAGAGGGGCTGAGCCCCCCCATAGGTCCCCCTCCCACATCCCAAGGGCCTGGGGAGGGAGGGGGACTTCAAACCATTCCCCCTTCCTCCCACCCCCCCACCAGAGGGGCTGAGCCCCCCCCATAGGTCCCCCTCCCACATCCCAAGGGCCTGGGGAGGGAGGGGGGCTTCAAACCATTCCCCCCTTCCTCCCACCCCCCCACCAGAGGGGCTGAGCCCCCCCCATGTCCCCCTCCCACATCCTAAGTGCCTGGGGAGGGAGGGGGTCTTCAAAGCTTCCCCCCTTCCTCCCCCCTCAGCAGAGGGGTCTGAGCCCCCCACCCTCTCTCCCCCACCCCACCCAATGGACCCCCAGGCAACAGCCCCCCCTCCCGCATCCCAAGTGCCTGGAGAGGGAGAGAGGGCTTCAAACCTTTCCCCCTCCCCTCTGATTGCCCCTCCCTCTCTCTCTCACCCCCCCCCACTGGGCCTGGGGAAGAGGCCCCCCACCCGTGTCTTGGGGTGGGGGGGAAAGGGGAGTCTGGAAGGCCCCCAGGGTCAAGCAGGCAGGTCCAAGACCGCCCCCCAACCCCATCTTGCACGCCCCCCCAGGGGTGACTCAGGCCAGCCTCCCTCGCAGGGCTGTCCCGGGGGGGGGAGTGGGGGGGGAAGGTGGGCCCAAGACCCTCCCGGCTCTGGGGGGGGGGTCACCCTCAGCCAGCCCAGGGCTCGGCCGCCCGGATTTGCCTCCCCGTCCATCTGGCGACATGGGGTGGAGTGGGAGTCATTCACCAGATGGGCTCCATCTGCCATGGGGGGGTGGGGGGTGTATTGGCAGGGTCTCCCCCAGCAGAAGCCCCCCCCCACCAAGAAGGCCCTGGCTGTTTGTGTGAGAGAGAAAGAGAAGGATGGAGGCAGGACCCCCCCCCCAGAGGGCCTGACCCAGGGCCTTTCTTAGGAAGATGCAGAACAACTCCCCTCAAATAAGAATAATTGCACCCCCCAAAAATAATAATTGGACCCCCTCTTGAGAAATAAGGGCTGGAGAGGAGTCAGACCTCTGGCTGGGGGGAGACCTCAAGCCGTGCACCTGACCCTGTGCGCCCCCCCCAAGCCAATAATAATAGTACCCCACTCATCTGACGGATTTGCCCCACAGCGGTTGAACCAGCCAGAAGCAGGAGAGGGTGGGGCATGCGCACACCCCAAAGCCCCCCCTCCTGAATCCTGGGAGTTGTAGTTCTGCCAGGGGTGAACTATAGTTCCCATTATTCTCTGAGGGCGGGGGATTTTAAAAGCTGAGAGTCCTGTGTCGTGGGTGGTCGGACTCAGTGGCCATCGGGGAGGGGGGGTCCCGGTTCCACGGCCCGTCCCCACGCGACGCCAGGCCCGCTGGCGCAGGGAACCAGAGCGCCTCTGAGCGGGCGCAGAGACCCACCTCTCCCCGGGCGACAGTGGGGCTTGAGTCTCCCGGACCCCCGTGGGGAAGGGGGTCCTATTCCCCAGGTACCTGCAGGGGCACGAGGGTCGAAGGGGGCTCAGAGAAGGCGCCCAGGAGCCCTCGGGGGACGTCGGGCACGCTTAGTGCCGCCCACACAGGCCGGCAGCAACTCTCAGGAGCCTTTTGCCTGGCGATGCTGTTGAGGACGGAGCCAGGAGCCTTCTATAGGCCAAGCAGGTGCCCTTTCCTTAAAAATAAACCAGGATTCTAGTCCTCAAGATTCTGCATTCAGCAGAAGCCCCCTTATTTCCCAGCGCTACCAGGCGACGCCGTTGCAGGATTGAACCCGGAGCCTTCTGCAGGCCAAGCAGGCGCCCTGCCCCATGCTGCCTACCCCGCCTGTCGGATGTGCTGTGTCACCAGCGGGGCGGGGTATTGCGCAATCTCTCGTGTCACAACTCCCCAAAGGGCCGGGTGCGAGTGCCGGGTTCACGAAGGCCAGAGGAGCTTCCTCAGCCTCTCTCCACTGAGCCCAGAACCTGCTTGCTGGTCTTGGGGTTGCGGGTTCGAGTCCCGCATAAGCCCCCTGCGTCGAAGGGGATTGGACTAGATGACTCGTGGGGTCCCTCGCGGCGCGGTGGTCCTGTGGCCCCCCCTGTTATGTGACTTGAAGGGATCCGTCTCTCCTGTGATCTGTCGGGGGGAACTGGAGCGGATTGCTGTTGGCCGAGCGTCGGGAATGGGCGCAGGGATCTCCCTCGAGGGATTTTGGACCCGAGTGCGAGAGCACCCACCCAACCTCCCCTGTTGGTTCTAGCGAAGTCCTTAATTTTCAGTGTTTTTGTACGCTTTTACATTTGTCGGAAGCCGCTCCGAATTGCTGTGGCGCCCAGCCAGATGGGCAGGGTACAATTATTATTATTATTATTATTATTATTATTATTTATTATTATTATTCTAGTGTTCTGGAGTGTGGCAGGTCTGTTTGGCTAGAGAGCAAAGCTTTGGGCATGTTCAGGGAGGAGAGAAACTGGCGACTTTCCTTGCGACAATTGCATGCATTCCCTTCGCCTAGGTTTTGGCCACTTTTGGACGAACCGGCAGAACCTGCATATTGCATGCTTTTATTTCCGGTATTTTGATGTTCCAAGTGCTCTCTGGAAGCCGATCTGGGCCGCTGCGGCGACCCGGGGGCCTGACTCTGCAGAAGGCGAGCTCCCTGCTCGCCTCCTTGCGGGCGCTGCAGCCGGGAGGGAGCTCTTTTGCCTCATGGGGTGGGGGCACCTGCCGTCCAGACCCGCCGGGCGCCGAGAGCCGCTCTCCAGGCCTCTCCCTCCTTGGACGCCGACCCAAATCTCGAGAGCCCCGTCTGCCGGGGGCTGATTTGTATTCCTGCAGAGCGGCCGGCCTGCTGTTGACGGAGAGAAAAGGCCTTGCAGTTGGCAAGGGGAAAGCCTACCCAGATGGTTCTCAGGAGCGCATGGTCTTAAGAGGAGGGATGTGGGGATGATGCGGGGAAGGGGTGGGGCGAGGCAAGGGGGGCACGGAGCTCTGCGTGCGTGTGGGGAGGGGGGGTTGTGCCTGTCCCCCTCGTGCTGGCAAAGTCCTGGCGCCGCCGAGCGAAAGGTGGGCAAGGCTGGAGCTGCCCAACTTGTGTGCCCAAAAAACACAGCTTTCGGTCCTTCGCACAAAGGGACGTTTGAAAGGTGGGCAGGCAGGATCTGCCAAACTTTTGTGCCCACAAACGCACAGCTTTCGGTCCTTCGCGCAAAGGGACGTTTGAAAGGTGGGCAGGCAGGATCTGCCAAACTTTTGTGCCCACAAAAGCACAGCTTTCGGTCCTTCGTGCAAAGGGACGTTTGAAAGGTGGGCAGGCAGGATCTGCCCAACTTGCGTGCCCAAAAAACACAGCTTTCGGTCCTTCGCGCAAAGGGACGTTTGAAAGGTGGGCAGGCAGGATCTGCCAAATTTTTGTGCCCACAAAAGCACAGCTTTCAGTCCTTTGCGCAAAGTTTGCCCCCTTTCCCATTTTAAGCTGCACGCCTGGTCCTTCAGGTGCACAATTGGGGTTGGCTGCCGGGCAGGCGGTGTTTTCCGTGAGGGAGATGCGCACCCTCGAATGCTCTCCCCGCCACGAGATTGCAAAGGATCTGGTTGTGCAATTCGGCTGCGGGGAGAAGGCAGCCCAGGCTGTGGAAGGAAGTTCCTGGCTGCGTCGGTGGAGCTTGCCCAACTTCTCCAGCCAGCCTTCTGCTGTTTCATAAAACTGTACAGTCGGAAGGGGTCCCTCCGAAGGTCATCCAGCCCAACCCGCCAGCAAGGCAGGAATCTCGGCCACAGCACCCAACAGCTGGTCTTCAGAATCGTTTCTGCTTTGTCTTTGAAATATAAAGCGGCATGGAAATGAAAGAATAGTAAGAATCGGTGCCGGATTTATGCATAGTAAGCTAAACAACCTCTAGTTTAGGGCCCCACTCTCTTGGGGGCCCCAAAAAAAATTAAAGGGGAAAAAAAAACCTGGATGTACATTTCCAAAATATAAGATGAAAAGCAAATAAAATAAAACCTACATCCAGCAACAGTGTTTTGTGTTGTGTAGGCTCCTCGGGTGGTAGGTCACGGGCCCCGCCTGCTCCCTAAAATATCCCTGGTTTGCTCCTTTCTATATATAGGGTGCCGACATTCTGCATGGACTGGTTGCACGGCAAGATGCGCAAATGGCTTGAGATACCAGTTAGGTCCATCAATGACCATATAGCAGGCATGGTCAAACTTGGCCCTCCAGATGTTTTGGGACTACAACTCCCACCATCCCTAGCTAACAGGACCAGTGGTCAGGGATGATGGGAACTGTAGTCCCAAAACATCTGGAGTGCAAAGTTTGGCCATGCCTGCCATATAGCATATATTCAGCACAAAGAAACAGCGACGATTTGTTGTGGACAAAGGACAGATGGACATAGAAAGGGCCCCGTTACCTTCAGGAGCGGAGGGCCACATCAGACCTCAATCTGGCCCTCCTAAGAATGATAAACATCACTGGGGTGGGAGGAGAAGGAAGAATGGCTCCTGGTCGTTCCGTTGTGGCGATCGCAACCCAGATTTCAGAGTTGGACCCGAGGATTGCTTCCGCCCTTGCATTGCAGGTGTATGCAGCTGTTGGGGACCGAACCTGCAACCTGTTTCACCATGTTTTTAATATTTGGAGCTGACTAGACCGGCTGCGGCAGCCCAGTCTGCTGGGCGGCGTGCAAATAATTAATTATTGTTGTTGTTATTATCGCCGTGCTCTATTGGCAGTTAGCTTATCTATCCGAGTTTCTGTTCCCATCAGATACACCCTTTTGCTTCCGATATACAGTCGTACCTCGGGTTACAGACGCTTAAGGTTGTGTTTCTTTCGGGTTACGGACCGCCGAAACCCAGAAGTACTGGAATGGGTTACTTCCTGGTTTCGGCGGTCACGCACACGCAGAAACCCTAAATCTCGCTTTGCACATGGGCAGAAGCACTGAATCGCAACCCGCAGACGCGCCGCACGGATCACATTCGCAACCTGAACGTCCACTGTACTCCGAGCTCCTTGCCTGCTTGGAATTCGGACGTTTCCAACATGAAATCCTTTTGCTTCCCGGGGTCTCTTATTTTGGGGTGGCTGCATTTGACCTGCTTTTTTGGGGGGGGAAGGTTATGTTCCCCCTTCCCTTTGGAAGCCAAGCTTTCCCAGGAACTGGGGGCCGACTCGCCTTGGTTCCGCAGGCGGATATTGTTCCGAAACGGAGCGTGCAGCCTTTGGGTAGGGCCAGCCTGACCTTCGGCGTCGTGGAGGGCAGGGAGCGGCTATTGATCGAGCCGCCTGTCCTTGAGGCCGAGGAACCGGGGAACAGGCTCCTTCTGTTGACAATAGTCCAGGGAGGGCGGCAGAAAGACGAGCAGGGAGCTCAGCATTCTTTGCCATGAGGACCTGGGATCGCACGTCCGTAAAAACAGGAAAAAACGCAGCGAGGCAAAATAGTCAAAATCAATAAATGCATTGCAGAGGCCACGTCCGAAAGAGGGGGGCAGGGAGAACAAGCCTAATAATTTCGTCATTTGCACCCCGCCCATCTGGGCTGGGATGCCGGAATCCCTGCTTCCGCCTACAGTGGCAGGGAGTTCCCCAGGCACACCCGTCCCTAGGAAGGGCGGGCAGGACCTCGGAAGTGTGGGGGCGAGTTTCCTGCCCTCGATCTGGAGGGATCCGACGGGCTTGCCTTTGCCCAACGGCTGGAGCCGTTGGGGGTTTTAATCCCAAATTATATTGGGGGGGGGACTTTCTCTGCTTCGGGGCTTGCCTGCCCTCTGTGGCCCCAATCCCCCTTCCCACAAACCCATCCTTCTGCTTTCAGACGAACGTGGAGGGAGGGTCCTTTCTTGGGGGTCTCAATAGGGACTGGATCCGCTGAAATTTGTATCTGAATACGTGTTTCACCTTGTTTCTCTCCCCACGTCTCTTTTCCCCTCTCCTGTCTAGCTCTCCGCCGGGACCCCCCTCTACGAGACGTATTACAAACAGGCAAGTGCCGGGGGCTCCCTTCGCCCCCTTCCCCTGGAAACCCCCGGGGAGGAGGCAAGAATCGGGGTTGGGGTCACCAGCACAGGCCGGCAGCAGCAGCAGCTCTCCCGGGCCTCTCCCAGCCCTGCCTGGGTTGGGTGGAGAGAACCTCGCCAAGTAGGCAGGGCAGGTGGGGCCCCCAATCGGGCCCCGTCAGAAAGACCCGGGGCAGGACGTCGAGCGGAGGAGCTTGCTTGGCACCCCAACAGCCCCCCAAAACCTGGGGGGTTGCAGTTGGCTTGCGGAGGGCGCTGTCCCTTTTTAGGAATGTTTTAAATGATATTTTATCGTGTCTTTTAATATTCTGTTGGGAGCCAGCCATATGGGCGGGGAAATAAATAAATCTATTATTGTTATTATTTATTATACCTCAGCTCAGGTGTGGCTGTTTGTTCTCCACAGGTGGACCCAGCCTGCACGGGCCGGATCGGGGCCGGCGAGGCCGCCCTCTTCCTCAAGAAGTCGGGTCTGGCCGACGTCATTCTGGGGAAGGTAAGTTCAGCTCAGCCCGGGATTTCGGGGAGAAGGAGTTTGGGGGTGCGGCGTCCCAGCCTCCTCCTTCCCCCTTTTAGTCGCAGGGTCCGCAAAGCCATTCCCCGCTCCGGAAAATGCCGTGGGAGCAATCGGCCCGCGAGCCCATTTCACAGAAGCGTAGAATTGCTGGAAGGGACCCCGTGGGTCATCCAGCCCAACCCCAACGCGGGGATCGAACCGGCAGTTTTGGCGATCTCGCCAAGTCTCCGGAATTCAAGGCTCCAGCAGCACATCTGAGAAAAGCAATAGTGCTGTCCGTGTAGAAAGACTGAGCCATTATAAAGTGAATTAGTGGGGATTTTCGGTAGTGCTGTATTGTATTATTTATGCAGATTGATTGTCTCTGGAGTCAAAGATCTGACTGGGACAAACCTTGTTATGTTGAGCTCGTATTTTGCACAATTTGTATATGGTGTCTATTTGATAATGTGCCTAATAAAGGATCTTGATTTAATAGCTCTGGATCGGGGTGTGGTTTTTATTTTCCTTCTCTTTGTGTTTTTTTTAGATCTGGGATCTGGCCGACCCGGAGGGCAAAGGCTTCCTGGACAAACAGGTACGTGGCGATGCCCAGCCGAGGAGTTTAAAGATCCCTACAGCTGTTTAAGCTTGGAAGAGGGACCCCAGACTCATCTAGCCAGTTCGCCTCCAATGCAAGGACCCGGATGTTGTTGTTGTTTGGTTGTTTAGTCGTGTCCGCCTCTTGGTGACCCCCTGGACCAGAGCACGCCAGGCCCTCCTGTCTTCCACTGCCTCCCGCAGTTTGGTCAGACTCATATTAGTAGCTTTGAGAACACTGTCCCACCATCTCGTCCTCCGTCGTCCCCTTCTCCTTGTGCCCTCCATCTTTCCCAAAACCAGGGTCTTTTCCAGGGAGTCTTCGCTTCTCATGAGGTGGCCAAAGTATTGGAGCCTCAGCTTCAGGATCTGTCCTTCCAGTGAGCACTCAGGGCTGATTTCCTTCAGAATGGAGAGGTTTGATCTTCTTGCAGTCCATGGGACTCTCAAGAGTCTCCTCCAGCACCAGAATTCAAAAGCATCAATTCTTTGGCGATCAGCCTTCTTGATGGTCCAGCTCTCACTTCCATACATCACGACTGGGAAAACCAGAGCTTGAACTATAAGGACCCAGATATGTAGGCTATAATGCCGTTGGTTTAATTAAATACATTATTTACTCTGTTGCATGTGAACCAGGGCTTCTTCGTGGCGCTGCGGCTGGTGGCCTGCGCGCAGAACGGGCACGACGTCACCCTCACCAACCTCACCCTGGCGCTGCCTCCGCCAAAATTCGTAAGTGCGCCATGCGTTTTACCTGTTCGCTTTCCAAGACCTTCCTCCGGGGGGGATGGCAACCCCTTTCTCCTGGAGCTCCGGCTTCCAAATATTCGGATTTGGGGTGCCGGAACGGGCCGGCGGAGACGTTTTGGGGAGGGGGTCTTGATGGCGCGCTGTTTCTCCTTCGTTCCAGCCCGACAGCACCAGCCCCCTGCTGATCTCCTCCTCCTCGGACGCTCACTGGGCCGTCAGGGTGAGTCTCCCCTTGGGGCATGGGGAGGGAAACTAAGGCCCGGGGGCCGGATCCAGCCCAATTGCCTTCTCAATCTGGCCCTCGGATGGTCCGGGAATCAGTGTGTTTTTACTTGAGTAGAATGTGTCCTTTTATTTAAAATGCATCTCTGGGTTATTTGTGGGACATAGGAATTCGTTCATTATTATTTTTTCAAAATATAGTCCGGCCCTCCACAAGTTCTGAGGGACAGTGGACCGGCCCCCTGCTGGAAACGTTTGCTGACCCCTGCATTTGGGGGGTCTCCCCCTTGGGTGAAAGGGGGTCCTCTTCCTCCTCCTCCTCCTCCTCCCGCAGTGGGGCCGCCTTTTCCCAGAGCTCCCTTTATATTTTCAGATGGAGGAAAAGGCCAAGTTTGACGGCATCTTTGAGAGCCTCCTGCCCGTCAACGGCTTGCTCTCGGGGGACAAAGTGAAGCCGGTCCTCATGAACTCCAAGCTGCCTCTCGATATCTTGGGAAGGGTGAGCGGACCTTTCTTTCTTTCTTTCTTTCTTTCTTTCTTTCTTTCTTTCTTTCTTTCTTTCTCTCTCTCTCTCTTTCTCTCTCTCTTTCTTTCTTTCTCTCTCTTTTTTTCTCTCTCTCTTTTTCTCTCTCTTTCCCTTTCTCTCTTTTTCTATCTTTCTTTTTTCTTTCTTTCTCTCTCTTTTTCTTTCTCTTTCTTTCTCTTCATCCCTCCCTCCCTCCCTTTCTCTCTCTTTCTTTCTTTCCTTTTTCTCTCTTTCTTTTTTCTTTTTTTCTCTCTTTCTCTCTTTCTCTTTTTCTCTCTCCCTTTCTCTTTCTTTCTTTCTTTCTTTCTTTCTTTCTTTCTTTCTTTCTCTCTCTCTCTCTCTCTCTTCTTTCTTTCTCTCTCTCTCTCTTTTCTTTCTTTCTCTTTCTCTTTCTCTCTCTCTCTCTCTCTCTCTCTCTCTCTCATATCCTCCCCAGTTTTTAATTTCCTGCTCCGAACAGCGGAATTTGCCCCATCACAGGAGCATAATTAAGATTACAGCGGTACCTCAGTTTACTATCATCCATTCCGGAAGTCCGTTCTTAAACCAAAACCATTCTTAAACCGAGGTGCGCTTTCCCTAATGAGGCCTCCTGCCGCCGGTGCCCTTCCACCGTTCAGCTTCCGTTCGTAGACCGAGGCAAAGTTTGCAAACCGGGACACTACTTCCAGTTTTGCGGAGTTCGTAAACCGAATAGTTTGTTAACAGGGCTGTTCGTAAACCAAGCTACCACTGTACTGCGACGCGTTCTACGTAGGGCTGCCTCTGAAGACGGTTCAGAGACTTCAGCTGGTACAGAATACTGCTGGACCAGGTTGTCCGCGACTGGACCTAATGGTCAGGGGTCCCTTTACCCTCAGGTCTCAGGGCACTTAGCAAAAAGACACGATCAAAACAAAAAGGGAAGTTTAGGGGTTTAAAGCTGTGTTGTGTTTTTAATAATCGGTTGGGAGCTGCCCAGAGTGTTAAAAAATCAACAATATGGGGTAGTTTTTTTGGGATGTCCTGACGTCTTTCTGTTCTCTCCCTCCCTCTCTCCTTCCTTCTGTCTCCTCTAACGGCTGCGAAGGTCTGGGATCTCAGCGACATCGACAAGGACGGCCACCTCGACCGAGACGAGTTTGCCGTGGTAGGTTTATCCAGCGCTTGGTCGCCGGGTCCGTGCTCTCTCCGATGGAACCTCCAGCCACAGGCGCAGTCTATCTCAGTTGCCGGGTTCTCATTTGCCACGGTGGAGGGGAAAGTGCCAAGCTTTCCCACGGCACCCCCCCCCCCATTTTGGCACAGCCTCTCTGCACCCCATCCTCCCCTTGTCCCCCCCCCCCCCCACACACCTGCAGACATCTTTTCCCTCTCTGGGCCCTTTCAGGATTTAACTTTCAGGATTTAACCTCCTTCCATCGGTCAGGTAAGACAGAACTATTCTGCCTGGCCTTTAATTTGAATTCAGCTTTTATTTCCCTTTAATTTGAATTCAGCTTTTATTTCCCTTCCCTTCCCTCACTCGCTCTGAGACCCCACAGCTAATTCTCCCCTGGCCTCCACGCTGGCCCAAGTAGGACCAATTCAGCCAGCTAGCCCTGGCGATTATCTAATTGATTTTTTAATTTTACTGTTATTCGTGTGTTTATACCGTATTTTATACTGCTTTTATAATTAAAGTGTTTTAAATTTGTTGTTGTTGTTGTTTCCCCCCAAAAAAAATTTTTATTAGTTTTCCAAATGTATAACAGACAAATAGAAAAAAAGAAAATCAAAAAAACAAACCAACAAACATATATCCACTTTTGTTACCATTGTCAGGTGACTTCCTCGAATCCCCCTGGCTGAGTTTCCATATAAATCATTATAACAGTTTTCCAAAACTATTTCCACATAAAATTTACCTGGTCAATTAACATCTTTCTCTCTTTCGTTTTCAAATCCTATCATATCACGTTTTCAAATCCTAGGCCTATTTGGTACTCGCAAGTAATTCTGTTTATATTACCTTAACATATTTAGCTAAATAGGCTTTGAAATTCTTCCACTCCTCTTGGTCCTACCTCTGGTCACGGACTCTTCCAGTCAGGTCAGCTAGCTCCCCAAAATCCATTATCTTCATCTGCCTAAAGTGTTTTCAATTTGTTGTTAGCTGCCCTGAACCCGGTTTTTGAACCGGGAAGGGCAGGATATAAATAAAAATTTATTATTATTTCAGGCGATGCACTTGGTCTACCGTGCGCTGGAGAAGGAGCCCGTTCCGCCCGCCTTGCCCCCGCCCCTGGTGCCCCCCTCCAAGCGGAAGAAGGCGCCCTCCCTCCCCGGGGCCGTGCCCGTCCTGCCGGCCAGCCCCCCGCCCAAAGACAGCCTGCGCTCCACCCCTTCGCACGGCAGCGTCACCAGCCTCAACAGCACCGGCAGCCTCTCGCCCAAGCACAGCCTCAAGCAGGCGCAGCAGGTAGGGATCGGGGCCTCCCCTCACCCCAGGGGGGCGGAGGGTGGATCCAGTCCTCGAAGCTGGAGGGGGGCGGCCGCTCGCTTGATGAGAACTTCGGTGCGGTTGGACTGCGGAACTCACTTCCACTTGAAGCGGCAGCTTCCCCGCTGAATTATTTCGTGAGATTTGTGCGCTGCTAGATTGCAAAAAGTGCCCCACCCCGGAATAAGAGATCAAGAAGAACATAGGTTTTAAGAAGATTGGGAAACATTTATAGAATATGGCGGTACCTTGGTTCTCAAACTTAATCCGTTCCAAAACCAGAGCGTTCCAAAACCAAGGCGCTCTGCTTTCCCATCGAAAGTCATGCAAGACGGATTAATCCGTTCCACACTTTTAACAACAACCCCTAAAACAGCCATTGAACATGGATTTTACTATCCAACGAGACCATTGATCCATAAAATGAAAGCAATAATCGATGTGCTGTACTATAAAATAAATAAGACAGCATTGTAGATAATAAAAATGAAAATTATATTTTCTTCCCTGCACTGATGACGGTCATGGTTTGGATGGGGGGCTTTTATCCATGTCCGCAGTCATACGATCAATCAATCAATCAGTAGCTGAACTGACCCAGCCACTGCGTCAGCGTTCTGCCGATTCTCCAGCAGAGCCTCCACAGGCAGGGCCAGTCTACCTTAGAACGGCGGGCAACCAGAGCCCATTTCTCTCTAGTTTGGGGGGGTATCTTGTTGGCTCTCGGGAGGCCAGACCCGGATGAGCCCCCCCCCCAGCGGTTTTTTAGGGCGCCTGGGGGTCCCACGCCTAAGTCTGATTTTCTCGTTCCAGCCGCCTGCGTCCTGGGTGGTCCCCCTGACCGACAAGCTCCGCTACGACGAGATCTTCCTGAAGACAGACCTGGACTTGGACGGCTTCGTCAGCGGCCTGGAGGTTAAGGACATCTTTATGCACTCGGGGCTGTCTCAGAACATCCTGGCGCACATCTGGTAATAATAATTAATAATAATAATAATAATTATTATTTTCAAGCTGCACTGGCTCCCGGTGGAGTACAGGGTCAGATTTAAGGTGCTGCTTTTGACCTTTAAAGCCCTTCACGGCTTAGGACCCTCGTACCTACGGGACCGCCTCTCCCGCTCTGCCCCACGGAGGACCTTAAGGTCCATACATAGCAACACCCTAGTGGTCCCGGGCCCTAAGGAAGTCAGATTAGCCTCAACCAGAGCCAGGGCCTTCTCAACACTGGCTCCGGCCTGGTGGGACGCTCTTGTCTCATGAGACCAGGACACTGCAGGATCTGATTTCTTTCCACAGGGCCTGTAAGACAGAGTTGTTCCGCCTGGCCCTTTGGCTTGGAGCCAATTTGATTCCCTCCCTCTCTTTCTTTTTTCTTTTCCTTCTCCTCCTGCAATGAGGCTACATTTTAAGATTTTAATGTTCCATTATTTTAATGTTGTATTTTATTTTTGTTTTTAAGTTGTAATCATTCTTCTTGTTTTTATTATTGCTTGTAAGCCGCTCTGAGCCCGGCCTTGGCTGGGGAGGGCGGGGTATAAATAAAAAATTATTATTATTATTATTATTTATTAATTAATTAATTAATTAATTTACTCCTAGCCCATCTGCCTGAGTTTCCCCAGCCACTCTGGGCAGCTCCCAATCAAGTGTCAAAAACAATACAGCCTTAAATATCCTTGGAGGGGGGAGCAAAGAGGTGTGGGATAAATATAATAATGAAGGGTGATTGACGGCTCCTCGCTTCCAGGGCCTTGGCGGACACGAGGCAGATGGGGAAACTGAACAAGGACCAGTTTGCCCTAGCCATGCACCTCATCCAGCAGAAAGTGAGCAAGGGCATCGACCCCCCGCAGGTCCTGCTGCCGGACATGATCCCCCCGTCGGAGAGGACCGCACCTGCCCAGGTGAGCTCCTCCAGGATGGATCAACGAAACCGCAGGCCCCTCCCGCGTTCCTGGCCCCAGCCGGGCTCTGACAGAGCAGGACGGGGCTCCCTTCCTAACCCCCTTCTCTCCGTCCCGACGCCAACCTTCTTGCCCGGTCCTCCCCACTCCGGCGCTGACTCTGCCCCCCCTCCACTGCCCCCCCCTTTGCCGCCCTCTCCAGACCATCCCCGGCTACTTGGCTTCCGTGGGAACCGAGGTCTCAACACTGGCGGAAATGCGTCGTGTGAGTAGGACCGTGGGGATCCCCGGAACGCGGCGCTCCCCCCCCCCCCCCGCATTTTCCTTTTTTGCCTGCTCCGAGAAGCACGAAGGACCCTCTGGATGTGGGGCAGGGGAAAACCTCTGAATCGCTCCTTATCCATCTATCTATTGATCTATCTATATCTATCATCTATCTTTCTATATATCATGTCTGTCTGTCTGTCCTCTTATCTATCTCTATCATCTGTGTATCTATTTATATCTATCTATCATCTATCTATCTATCATAGCTATTTGTCTGTCTATCATCTGTCTATCATCTACCTATCTGTCATCTATCATATCTATCTGTCTATCATCTATCTATCTATTATGTCTGTCTGTCTGTCTGTCATCTATCTACCGTATTTTTCGCCCTATAGGACGCACCGTCCCATAAGGCGCACCTAGTTTTTTGGGGGGGAAATAAAGAGTGAAAAATTATTTTTCCCCCAGGCATGGGGCTGGGGCGGGGGAAGCCCGAGCTTCCCCCGACCCCAGTCCCCAAACAGGCAGCTCTCTGCAAGCCGTGGGAGCCCAGCGCTGGCTCCCGCTGCTTGCGGAGAGGTCCGCGAAGCCTGGAGAGCGAGAGGGGTCGGTGCGCACCGACGCCCCTCGCTCTCCAGGCTTCAGCGAAAGCCTGCATTCGCCCCATAGGACGCACACACATTTCCCCTTCATTTTTGGAGGGGAAAAAGTGCGTCCTATAGGGCGAAAAATACGGTATCTATTTTTATCATCTCTCCATATCTATCTATCATATCTATCTGTCTGTCTGTCTGTCTATCTATCATCTATCTATCTATCATATCTGTCTGTCATCTATCGTCTGTCTGTCTGTCTGCTTTCTCTCTCTCTCTCTCTGCTTCTTCTAACCGCATGTTCTTCTTGCTCTCTTATTCTCTACCAGGCTTCCTCAGCCTCAGCCCTCCAGATGTTTTTGGCCCACAACTCCCATGACCCCTAGCTAGCAGGACCAGTGGTCGGGGATGATGGGAACTGTAGCCTCAAAACATCTGGAGGGCCGAGGTTCTATACGTTAAGTCTGCAAGCTGCCAGCTTAAGCCAGGCTTCCTCAGCCTCGACCCTCCAGATGTTTTGGACTACAGTTCCCATCATCCCTGACCACTGGTCCTGCTAGCTAGGGATCATGGGAGTTGTAGGCCAAAAACATCTGGAGGGCCGAGGTTGAGGAAGCCTGGCTTAAGTCACCCTTAGGCTTTTTAATTTCTGCGTTGACACTGTGTTTTCCACCCCAGTTTGCATGCGCCTTGCCCCCCTTTCCTGGCCGTATTTTTTGGGGAGAGGGGTCTGTGCGCTCCCCAGTTTTCCCGTCCGGGGTGCAGCCTGACTTGTTTGGGCTCCTTAACAGGACAGCTCCAGTTCCGTCGGCTCCGGGGGCGAATTCACCGGCATGAAGGAGCTGGATGACATCGGCCAGGAGATCGCCCAGTTGCAGAGGTGGGTGGCGTTCGGGGCGCTGGGGGGGTCCTGGGAGAGGTGCAGACGGCATCAGAACCCCCCAAAAAAGCGCTGCTGACCAGGATGGATTTAATTTAAGTCCAGCCCCCAAAGGCAGAGAATCATTTGAGACTGATTTTACTCACACGACCTTTCTCCCTTTTTTTGCAGAGAGAAGTATTCCCTCGAGCAAGAGATCCGAGAGAGGGAAGGAGCGATTCGGCAGAAGACCAATGAAGTACAGGTAAATGGGTTTAGTTTTCCCCCCACCCGGCGATATTGCGCTCTCAGAGTAGGCCTGTTGGGGGACCCTGAGGGTCATCCAGCCCAACCCGCTGCAATGCGGGAAAATCCTTTGCCCAACGTGGAACTCGAACCCACGACTCAAGATCAAAGAGTTTCAGGCTCTACCTATCGAGCTTATCCCAGCCGTTAAACCCCAAGAGAGTGGGGCCCTAAGGCATAGCCTGTTTAGCTTATACGTAAATCTGGCACTGGCATAGGTAGATAGATAGATGGATAGATAAATCATCATCATCAATCTTTATTACGGTCCAGAGACCCAACAAATCATTACAAAGCAATAAATTCATACAGCCTACCTCCAGGTTAAACAAGCATTTTGTTCAGAATATAGGGACCATTTGTTCTTGCAACCACCGATTAGATAGATAGATAGATAGATAGATAGATAGATAATATTTTGGAAATGTACATCCAGTGTTTTTTCCCCTTTAAAGTTTTTGGGGGCCCTCAAGAGAGTGTGGCCCTAAGCTAGAGCTTGTTGAGCTTATACGTACATCTGGCACTGGCATAGATAGATAGATAGATAGATAGATAGATAGATAGATAGATAGATAGATAGATAGCTGGATAGATAGATAGCTGGATAGAGATAGATAGATAGATAGATAGATAGATAGATAGATAGATAGATAGATAGCTGGAGATAGATGATAGATAGATAGATGATAGATAGATAGATAGATAGATAGATAGATAGATAGATAGATAGACAGACAGACAGATAGATAGATAGATAGATAGATAGATAGATAGATAGATAGTAAGTATTTTGGAAATGTACATCCAGTGGTTTTTCCCCCCCTTTCAATTTTTTGGGGGCCCCCAAGAGGGTGGGGCCCTAAGCTAGAGCTTGCTGAGCTTCTACGTAAATCCAGCGCTACCCGCCCCGCTAAGCCGCCTTCTCTTCCTCCTCCGCAGGAGCTTCAGAACGACCTGGACCGGGAGACCAGCAGCCTGCAGGAGCTGGAGGCGCAGAAGCAGGAGGCTCAGGGCCGCCTGGACGAGATGGAGCAGCAGAAGGCCAAGCTGAAGGACATGCTGAGCGACGTCCGGCAGAAGTGCCAGGAGGAGACCCACGTGGTGAGTTGGGGGGGGCGGGAATTGCCCACGCTCCTTGTGCCCCCACGCAACACGGAAACAGCACGGGGGAAACCGGCGGAACTCCCTGCCACAGGATTCCACCCCTTTCCCCTTCTGTTTCAAAGAGCTGGGTTTTTTTCCTCTCCGTGGTTTTGTTTTCCCAACTCTGTTTCTATTTTTGTTTTATTTATTGAAGTTGTATAATCCGTCTTGTTTATGATTTATCAGTTCAGCCAATAAAGCGGATAAAATATAAACAGATAAGTTACAAATTCATTCAATAAAGTAAATTATAAACAGATAAATTATAAATTCAATAAATAAAATAGATAAATTATAAACAGATAATTTATTTATTTATTTATTCATACATACATACATACATACATACCGTGCTCCGTACAGAGATTTTACCGGTCAGGGTGTGTGTGCACTTGCCTTGTGGAACGGCTGCCTATCCGTAATTTTGGGGGGAGCCTTGCGTCATCTGTTAAAGCGTATTCTCTTTCCCAACCCCATGATGTTTATTAAATTTTCTGTTTGACGTTTTGGAATGTTCATTCGCACAACCTTAAAACTCGAATGGCTTCCCCTCTTCTCTTGTTCGTTTGGCAAAATGCAAATCCTTGCATATTTTATGCAAGCTTAATAATAATAATAATAATAATAATTTATTTATTAATTCATTCATTCATACCCTGCCCATCTGGCTGGGTTTCCCCAGCCACTCTGGGCGGCTTCCAACAAGAGATTAAAAATACCTTAAAACATCAGCCATTAAAATCTGCCCTAAGCAGGGCTGCCTTCAGATGTCTTCTAAAAGTCAGAGAGTTGCTTCTTTCCTTGACATCTGACGGGAGGGCAGGTGCCACCACCGAGAAGGCCCTGCAACGCGTGTACATTCTCCGCCCTCCTCCTCTTCTCGCGAACTGGGTCTCTTTCCCCCCCCCCCTCAAGACTGCCTTTGCCCTTCCAGATCTCGTCGCTGAAGATGCAGATCCAGTCTCAGGAGTCGGACCTGAGATCCCAGGAGAACGACATCAGTCGGGCAAAGTCGGAGCTCAGCCGGCTGCAGCAGGAGGAGTCCCAGCTGGAGCAGAGCATTCAGGCCGGAAAAGTCCAGCTGGAAACCATCATCAAGTCTCTGAAGTCCACCCAGGAGGAAATCAACCAGGTGGGGAGGTGGGACCCCAAACGGGGGCAGCCTTCGGGTGACACCCCCTTTCCCCCCCCCAGGGCCAAGACCTTGCGCCCAAATTTCCGCAGGTGTTTCCTCGAACGGCGGCCATGCCTGGGATGGGGGGCAGAGACACGGGTCTCTGTGCGCATGGGTCTTTCCTGTGTTAAATATTTTTAAAAACTGCCCCTTTTCCCTTATGGGGTATCCAAGAGCCCGTCTAGAGTCCATAAATGGGTATGGGGTATTCCGGAGCCCCTATAAAGTCCTTAAGTGGGTTCCCCGTCAGTAGGAGGAAACGACAGAGGCGAAGGAGACAACACAAAAGGAAAGAGGGATGGGGAGGGAAGAGGAAACCGAGCGAGCTCAGGCTCCGACTCTTCAATTTGTCGTTTCTGCTATCTCCAGATGTAATATCTGGTTATGCAATGTGAGAAGCGTGAGGCTGGACCAGGCAGATCTTTCCTACGAGTTATTTAGGAAATAGAGGCCATCTTTGCATGTTCTTTGCTATAAGAATAAATCTTCTCCTAGAGCGCGTCTAGAGTCCTTAAGTGGGTTCCCTATCGGTAGGAGGAAATAGCAGAGGCCGAGCAGAAAACACAAAAGGGAATTCAAACTGCTTTATACGTTACACATCTATGCTTACAGACCACCCTATTTTCCCGTGCATAAGACTATATCCCCCCCCCCCAAGTTTTTCCAAGTTTATCATTGATTTTTCTCCGCCCTGTCCCCCCGCAGGCGAGGAGCAAGCTGTCCCGCTTGCAAGAGAGCCAGCAGGAAGCCCACCGGGGCATCGACCAGTACAATGAAGCCCTGAACGGGGTGCTTGGCGGCAGCATGACCAACCTAGCGGATCTGAACGAGGGGAACCCGCAGAAGGAGCGGGGCGGCAGGTTCGGGACCCTGGTGAGGCGCCAGGCCGATTCCTCGCGGGAGCAGGCTTTGCTCAATAACGACAATGATTTTATTAATTGTATCTCAACCACCCGGCCACTCTGGGCAGCTTCCAGCACGTATAAAAAGCTTAACACCAAGCACTGAAAACTTCCCTGTACAAGGCTGCCTTCGGATGTCTTCTTAAAAGTCAGATGTTTTAAAATTTCCTTGGCATCTAGTGGGAGGGAGTTCCACAGGGCAGGGGCCACCACCGAGAAGGCCCTGTGCCTGGCTCCCTGTAGCTTCACTTCCTGCCCCGAGGGAACCGCCAGAAGGCCCTCGGGAGATGGACCCCGGCGTCCGGGCTGGACGATTGGGTTGGAGGCGCTGTGTGGGGCTTTCAAGATCGGCACTGACGCTTTGAATTGCGCTCAGAAATTGCACTTTGGGCACCACAGTTCAAGAAGGACACTGACCAACTGGAACGTGTCCAGAGGAGGGCAACCAAAATGGTCAAAGGCCTGGAAACGATGCCTTATGAGGAACGGCTAAGGGAGCTGGGCATGTTTAGCCTGGAGAAGAGGAGGTTAAGGGGTGATATGATGTTCAAATATATAAAAGGATCAGTTGCAGATGGGTAGCCGTGTTGGTCTGCCATAGTCAAAACAAAAAAAATTCCTTCCAGTAGCACCTTAAAGACCAACTAAGTTAGTTCTTGGTATATAAAAGGATGTCATATAGAGGAGGGAGAAAGGTGGTTTTCTGCTGCTCCAGAGAAGCGGACACGGAGCAATGGATCCAAACTACAAGAAAGAAGATTCCACCTCAACATTAGGAAGAACTTCCTGACAGTAAGAGCTGTTCGACAGTGGGATTTGCTGCCAAGGAGTGTGGTGGAGTCTCCTTCTTTGGAGGTCTTTAAGCAGAGGCTTGACAACCAGATGTCAGGAGTGCTCTGATGGTGTTTCCTGCTTGGCAGGGGGTTGGACTCAATGGCCCTTGTGGTCTCTTCCAACTCTATGATTCTATGATTCTACGTACACTGGGAGCCAAGGTAGACCTATCGAGGGAAGTTTTGAATGTTTGATGTTTTATCGTGTTTTTAATAGTCTGTTGGGAGCCGCCCAGAGTTGCTGGGGAAACCCAGCTAGGTGGGCAGGGGATAGATAATAAATTATTATTTATATAAATTACTATTTTAAGGCTGAAGCAGGGAGGGCGTCCCTGGATCCGAGAATATTATAATCATCACCATTATTATTAAGTCTTCTCTCCGGCCCTTCGCCACGACTTCTGTGGCGATTTAGAAACACGAAGCCAGTTAAGCAAATCAGCTGCCGTTGCTGCCTTGCAGGGGTTGGGCTACAGGACCTCAAGAGGGCCCTCCCGGCTCTGCGCACCTTGCAATTCCATGATTCTTTGGGGGTTTCTCAGCAGAGGTCATCAGGATCCTTTAGCCGGGGGTCCTGTCCAACTCCGACAACTCCGACGTGAACCTGGGGGGGTCTTTGGGGGTCTGTTTTGTGTCTGATTCCCTTCTCTTTCCCCCCTCGTCTTGGCAGGACGACCCGTTCAAGAACAAGGCCCTCCTGTTCAGCGGCCACACGCAGGAGCTTCCTGCGGACCCTTTCCAGGCGGAAGACCCCTTTAGGACGGACCCCTTCAAGGGCGCAGACCCCTTCAGAGGCAGTGAGTGGCGACGGGGGGCAGCGGGCCCTGAACCGTCTCCCGCCACGATCCTGGCCTGGTTCCTCCTCTTAACCGCGCCCCTCTCTCTCTTCCTCCCAGGTGACCCCTTTCAGAACGACCCCTTTGCGGAGCAGGCCCCCGTGGTTGCGGCGGCGGTGGTGCCAGGTGAGATAATAATCAGAATAATTTATTATTTATACCCCGCCCATCTGTCTGGGTCTCCCCAGCCACTCTGGGCGGCTCCCAACAAAAGAGTAAAAAGACATTAAGTCATTAAAAGCTTCCCTAAACAGGGCTGCCTTCAGGTGTCTTCTAAAAGTCAGAGAGTTGTTTATTTCCTTGACATCTGACGGGAGGGCGCCACCACCAAGAAGGCCCTCTGCCTGGTTCCCTGTAACCTCACTAGGTCAGGCGGAGAGGCAGCGACTGGCCCAAAGTCACAGCCAGTGAGTTTCAGGGCCAGGCGGAGATTTGAAGTAGATAAATAGGTACCGCTCCGGTGGGAAGCTAAACGGCGTTTCCATGCGCTATGGTTTCCGCCATGCGCCAGAAGCGGTTTAGTCCTGCTGGCCACACGACCCGGAAAGCTGTCTGTGGACAAACGCCGGCTCCCTCGGCCTGAAAGCGAGATGAGCGCCGCAACCCCTGTGTTGCCTTAACCGTACACGGGTCCTTATAATTTAACCCCCTTAGCAAAATCCATGCTGATACGTGTGCCGGTCCTCGAATCGCTGCTCCGACGTCGCCTTTGCTCCCCCTGCTCTTGCGCAGGAACCCCAAATTTAGTCTTTCACCCCGGAATCCCAAAAGGCCTCTGCAGCGGTGTGGGGACAGGTGTCAGTCTCTCGCCTCCCGGAGAGGCCATCTGCCTCCCTCCCTCCCTCTTCACTCTCCGGTGAACGATTCGCCCTCTCCCCGCAGATCCCTTCGGCGGAGATCCGTTTAAGGAAAGCGATCCCTTCCGCGCCGCAGCGGCGCCCGACGATTTCTTCAGGAAGCCCGAGGAGAGCGATCCGTTCACCGCCGACCCCTTCTCCAAAAACCCCACGCTGCCCTCCAAGGTGAGGACGTTTCCGGTGGGAGGGGGGCTTTTCTCTTGACGGCTTTGTTTCGTTCGGGGGAGGGTCCCTCGGTTCCGTTTGGGGCCGCAGGATCCTGAGCCCAGCTGCTTGGGGGCCCCTGCCGTGAAACCCTCGTTCTTCTGCCCCTTTAGGCGAACTTATTTGAAAACAGCGACCCCTTCCAGTCTCCGAGTGTCGTCGCCACCGCTCTGAAAGGGCCAGGTAAGCCCACTGCGGGGGGGGGGTGTCGCCCCACGGCATCGGGTGTCCGTCCACCCCCCTGTCCCCGCCCTCCAAGGATTCAAACTCTGGTCCGATGCTTCGGTTAAGCTGCCCGGCATTAATTTCTTGCAGAAGAAACACCGGCGGGGTGTGAATTCTGGAAGGGGGCAGCCCTGTGCAGGAGGACGGTTGTTTGGTTCAGGGGTTGGGGGGGGAACGGCTTGCAAGTTACTGGGGCGGGGGGAGAACAAGGGCTGCCTACCCGAGGGTCCCAACAGGGACGCCCTCCAGCCTGCGTCTTTAGAACCGGCAAAGTCTAGGAACGGGAATCCACTGACCTCCCCCCCCTTTGATTTCAGATCCTTTTGGAACGCTAGATCCCTTTGGGAGCAGCAGTTTCAACAGCGGTGGCAGCGGCACCGAAGGCTTCGCCGATTTCAGCCGGATGTCGAAGGTAAACCCTTCTCCCTCCCCAGATTTGGGGCGGCCGCTTAGCCCCCCTGACTTTACAAATCCCCAAATTCCCTCCTCTTGAGTTCCCTCCGCAGGGGCGGAATCCCCCTCCCCCAAGCAAATCTTGCCCAGACTGTGACCTGCTTCCTGTCGGGTCCTGTAACCCTGGGGGTTTTTTAAGGGGTGGGGTGGGGAAAAAAACACTACAAAACTACTCGCAAAAGAAAAAGGAGGTCAGCAACGCCGACGCGTTTCCCCTCCTATCTCTGGTTCTGCAAATAGCTCAGAAGTCGAGCGGAAAGCCCGTCCGACTTCCGAAAACGTTCGGGAACTGAGGCGCGGCTTCCGATTGGCCGCGGCGAGCTCCTGCGGCCAATCGGAAGCCGCGTCGGGCGTTCGGGTTCTAAAAAAACGTTCACTTCCGGGTTTGCGGCGTTCGGGAGCCAAAACGTCCGAGGACCAAGGCGTTTTGACAACCAAGGTGCAATTGTACTGGAAACTTGATTTATTTGGGTTTTTTTAAGCTGGGGGGTAGGGTTCATTGGGATGGGGGGGTGCAGCTTTTGGCCCCCTCCTCCCCACAGCTCCAGCCTTGCATGCTTAGGTGGCGAAGGCTCCCTTGATCTTTGCCGCTTCCTCAATTCCATCCAGGAATTATCAGCGTCCTCTCCTCTCCCTCGGCCCAGCCCTGCCTCGCAGGGATGTTGTGTGTGAGAGAGAGAGAGAGAGGAGAGGCGGATCTAGCAAATGTTTTCCGCAGGGGGCCGGTCCACTGTCCCTAAGACCTTGTGGGGGACCGGACTATATTTTAAAAATAAAAATGAACGAATTCCTTAGCCGCCGCACAAGAGATGCATTTTAAATAAAAGCACACATTCTACTCATCTAAAAACACGCTGATTCCCAGACCGTCCACAGGCCAGATTGAGAAGGCAATTGGGCCGGATCCGGCCCCCGGGCCTTAGTTTGCCTACCCATGATCTAGCAGGAGGGAATCTCCAGTCTTAGCGGCTGAAACGCTTTTCTGCCACAGGGTGGCGCGAGAGAACCTTCCCCGCAGCCCCGTTCCATTTAAATTAAAAACGTTAAATGTCTGCTTTCCGTTCAGAAATCCAGCCAAAAATAAACACACAGTGGTCCCTCGGTTCTGAGACTTCATCCGTTCCAAAACCAAAGCGTTCCAAAACCAAGGCGCTCTTTCCCGTAGAAAGTCATGCGAAACAGATCAATCCGTTCCAGACTATCAGTAGCTGAACTGAGTTCTGCACAGTCACAAAAACAAATGAACCGAAAAAGCCTCAAAATACAAAACCACAAAATAAATAGCAAAAACAAAAGCGCCAGACTTAATCCCTTCCGGAAGTCCGTTTGACTTCAGAAATGTTCGGAAACCAAGGCGCAGGTGCCCCGGAAACAATAGCCGACAGCCGCGTCGGACGTTCAGCTTCCAAAAAACGTCCAAAAACCGAAACATTAATTTTGGGTTTTGGGCGATTGGTTACTATGGAAGAAGACAAATCGGCCCAAGATCCGTTCTTTGTTTGCATTTCGTGAAATCCATGCACATCGCCTTGTTGCAAAAACAACCAAAAACACCTTAAAGTAGTTTGTGAAAGGATGAGGCGATAAAAACCGAGAAATGTTTCGCAGCAGCGCTTTAGAAACGTACAAAATTCAAAACAATGAGATGGATTGCACCAACTTTTTTAACAGCGTAATAGGGGGTTTTAGTGACAGGTGAGAATTTGATAGTAGAAAAGAGCGGAGGTGGGAAGTCAGTAAGGGAAAGGACTTAGCTATTTGATTTGTGGAAAAAATGGAAATTTGGTAAAAATTACATTGGGGTGGGGGTGGGGGAAACCATTCAAAAGTTGAAATATTAAAACAGATTAAAATTGCGCCAACTTTCTTAACGTCCTGGGGGGCTTGTCTGACCGAGAACGCCTTTAGGCGGGCGCCGGAAAGAGTCTGTGTCATGAGGCAGAGAGTTCCAAAGGGCTCAGAGAGTTCCAAAGGACTGGAAGGGTTTTTTTTGTAAAAGAAAATTGGAAATCCAGTAAACCGTTTTAAAGAATTTAAACCTGTTTCAGCGGGTCTACTACTCGCAAGCCGGTGCCGAGTTTGGGGGCGGCCCGTGGAAGCGGATGTCCGCCGGGTCTCCTCTGGTTGTGACCAGCCTGTGTCAGAGTCAGCCTGCCCCCCCCCCATGTCAGGCGATTGACGGGCGGGGGGGTTAGCCGAGGACCCGAAACCCCACCCCCATTTCCTCGTGGTTTTGTTCCGTTTTGGGGGGCAGCCCTGCAGCCCTTTCCCAGCTGTCGCAAAGCTTGGCTCCTCCCTTGCTCTCTTGCTTGCAAACCAGCGCCTCTCTGGGTCTGCCTCTGCGCCCCCCCCCGCCACTCCAGAGCCCCCCCCACTTCCTCCTTCCTGCCCCCCTCCCTCTCTCTGCAAGCCCCCTTTCCGCTTCTGCCTCTCTCTGTCTCTCTCTTTGCAGCCGCCGGCTTCCGACCCGTTCTCGGCCTCCTCTTTCGGGGGCTTCCCGGACGACCCCTTTAAGGGCAAGCTAGACACCCCCGCCCTCCCTCCGAAGAAAGGCTTGCCTCCCAGGCCCAAACCGCCCAGTGGTGAGTCTTCTCTGCGGTCCTCCTCCTCCTCCCCACCCCCACTTCGCGCCGGGGAAGGGGTGGCCGGCCGTCACGGAGGGCGGGGTGGGGGCTGCCTTCGTCTTGGACTTTCCATGGTGGGGGGGTTGACCTCTCTCCCTCCCTCTCTATTTCTCTCAGACATGCACTTGCCCCCCATTGCACTCTTCTCCCCCCCCCTTGCTTTTTACTAGAATGCTTGCCGGTGCGCAGCCAAACTCTGGGGCGCAGTGTGTTGGGGTTTTTTGGGGGGGGGATATCGGGCCAGGGTGCGTTTGATTTAAATCAAATCGGTTTAAATCATGGTTTAAATCAAATCGGTTTAAATCAAATCGGTTTAAATCAAAGCGGTTTGAATCAAAGCGGTTTGAATCACAGTTTAAATCAAATCGGTTTAAATAACGGTTTAAATCAAATCAACTTAGGTAAAGGTAAAGGGACCCCTGACCATTAGGTCCAGTCGTGGCCGACTCTGGGGTTGTGGCGCTCATCTCGCTTTATTGGCCGAGGGAGCCGGCGTACAGCTTCCAGGTCATGTGGCCAGCAGGACTAAGCCGCTTCTGGCGAACCAGAGCAGCGCACGGAAATGCTGTTTACCTTCCCGCCAGAGCGGTACCTATTGATCTACTTGCACTTTGACGTGCTTTCGAACTGCTAGGTTGGCAGGAGCAGGGACTGAGCAATGGGAGCTCACCCTGTCGCGGGGATTCGAACCCCCAGCCTTCTGATCGGCAAGTCCTAGGCTCTGTGGTTTAACCCACAGCGCCACCCGCGTCCCTTTCAATTTGACTTAAATCATGATTTAAATCAAATCGGTTTACATTACCGACAATTATACGAAACATATAAAGAAGACAACAAGAAAGGGTTTAGCTACACGACATCCAGATTTCGAAAAGAAGTGGTAGAAGGGAAAGCTAAATTGCCGAAAGAGGCATACAGTATCTTGTTAGAATGGGAGACGAAAGATGAAGAGGTGAAAGCGGTAATGATTAAATGGGCGCAAGACGTAGGCCATAACATTACGCTGGAAGATTGGGAAAGGTTCTGGAAAATAGACTTACAATTTGCAGACTGTTCTTTACTGAAAGAAAATTACATCGAAGATGATGTATAGATGGAATGTAAAAAACTGGCTCAAATTTGTGTTGGAAATGTAAGGAAAAGGAAGGGACTGACCTTCAGTTATCCAATAGATCATTAAACATTAAGAACTTCCCTAAACAGGGAATCTGCCTTCAGATGTCTCGTAAAAGTCATCTGACATCTGATGGGAGGGTGTTCCACAGGGTGGGTGCCACCACCGAGAAGGCCCTCTGCCTGGTTCCATGTAAACTCACTTCTCGCAGGGAGGGAACCACCAGGAGGCCCTCGGGAGAGGGACCCCGGTGTCCGGGGTGGAGACGCTCCTTCAGGGATACTGGGCCTTTGAGGCCGTTTAGGGCTTTCAAGGTCAGCACCAACCCTTTGAATTGCACTCAGAAAGCCCCCAAGGGAACCCCCCAGGCAGTATCTGAGCATCATAACAGGTATTCTCCACACCTGCGGTTCCTTGTTCTTGGGACCATCACAGCTTCCCTGGCCAGTCGCCATCAATGGCTTTCTCCTCCGTAAATTTGCCGGGTCCCCGTTTAAAATTTGCGGCCGCTAGGGTTATAACGCTCAGACAAACAAAATAATTCTTCTCCGTTGCGGGGAGGGGAAAAGTCACCCCAAAAGTTGGAATCGCCGTGACGTAACGTCACGACTCCTCTAAGTATTAGCACTTTTTAAAAAAGCTTTGTGGAGCTTTTACAGCTGCCTGGGGACTTCTTAAAACGTTCCGAGAATGTCCTAGAAGAATCCAAAATATTGGTCTTTAGGAAAGAACACGCAATACAAGGAATTTACTATTAATATTATGTTTTTAGATATGCTGTAAGCCGCCCAGAGCGGCTGGGGAAAGCCAGCCAGGTGGGCGAGGTATAAATGATAAAAGTATTATTTTTATTTTATTTTATAATTGATTGATTGATTGATTCTGCTTGCGGCAGAAACAAAGGCAAGCTGCAACCTCGGTTTATTCTAAAGGATGTGCAATCGACAAAACGCTGGACAAGTCTTAGAAAACCTACAAGCTCAAATGTTTTTCCTGTGTCGTGCAATATTTGCTCTGCGTACGACATTATACAGTTCCATTGACAAAAATCGATTGATTTCGGGGTGACCTTCCCCCCCCCCCAGAAGGTTTGGGAAATGGCAGTTCATGTCTTTGTTTTTATGCAGAAGTTCATCTGGCTAAGCTATAGGAACGGGAGGTGTGAAAAAATACGGTATTTTTTGCTCTACAAGACTCACTTTTCCCCTCCCAAAAATTGGAAATGTGTGTGCGTCTTATGGAGCGAATGCAGGCTGCGCAGCTATCCCAGAAGCCAGAACAGCAAGAGGGATTGCTGCTTTCGCTGCGCAGTGATCCCTCTTGCTGTTCTGGCTTCTGAGATTCAGAATATTTTTTTTTCCTTGTTTTCCTCCTCCAAAAACTAGGTGCGTCTTGTGGTCTGGTGCGTCTTATAGAGCGAAAAATACGGTGGCTTTAACTAGTGTCCAGACCCTGCGGGGCACAGAATTGCACCAATCCTGGCTCCCCTGTCGGAGGCAGGAAACCCCAGCCGCTGAAGACAGCAAGGGGGGGCAGTTGGTGCTGCACTTGGGGGTCACCTGGCCAGCTGTGGGGCTCCAGGGACCCGATCCAATTGCTGCTGCAGCGCTGGCGAGGAAGTTGCACCGGGGCTGGACCCTTCCCCGGCCAAGCCCAGAGAGTTCAAAAGCAGTTATTAGGAGTTGCCTCCTCCTCCTCCACCTCCTCTGTTCTTTCGTTCCTGTCTTCCCTCCCTTTCATCTGCTTTTTTGCACCGGCTGCTGATAAGAGATCTCCGTCCTCGCCGCTAACTAGCTTCTAGGTAAAGGCTGTTGAGCGTCAAAAAGAGAAAAACAGATTTTATTTTTCCCCTCCTCTCTCTCTCTCTCTCTCTCTCTCTCTCTGGTGTGTGTGTGTATTATTCTGGTTCTTTAAAGGGGCAGGAAGTCTCTGTGTGGGTGTCAGTGATTGCGAAGCCTCCCTGGGGCTGCTGCCACCACCATCGTGGGACCATCTGCAGCCGCCCCACCCTCAGCCACTTCCTCTCTCTGCGGTCGGCGCTCACCAGCAATATCGGGGCCCCGGCCTGCGCCGTCAACCAGGCACAGCCGCCGCTGACTTGGGGGGGTGGCGGCCGCCTCCTGCGGCCCGGACGGGGCAGGGGCTGCCAGTCCTGCCCCGAGAAAGGAGACCGTCGGGGTTGGGGAAAAGGGAACGAGAAAAGCACGTGGCGTTTGGGGCTTCTTAGTATCGGGAAGAGAGGAGACGGGATAGAGATTTGTAGAATGACGCACAGCCTTCGCTCCTGGCGCTAGAACTCCCGCTATGCTGAATATTGAGGGGCTCAGGGTGGATAAAGCGCCGGGTTGTGATTTTCTTTGAGGATTTGTGTGTGAGAGAGAGAGCGATACGAAGCAAACGAGCGAGGGAAGACTCATACGGCGTCTCCCTTTTCGATTCGTAAGAGTCCTTTTTGCAGTTTGCATTCGGTACGAGACACTTTCGTAAAGAAGGTGTAGGGCTGGACTGTGGGACTCCCTGCCACAGGAAGCGGCTGCCAACCTGGGTTAGACTGATTCGAGGAGGAGGCTCCTAGGTAGAATGGCTTGGCCTCCACAATCAAAACGCCGGTCGCCAGAAACCTCAGGAGGGGAGTGGGCTGCGCTTCAAGACCCCGGGGCCGGGGTGTAGAGCACGGCGTTTGTGCATGGGATCGGGGCCTTGCTGCAGCCCTGAGTGTGCTCTGCGGCTCAGGCCCGCTCTCCGTTTGAGGGACCCCCTTCCTCCCGTGGGCCAGAGTCTGGCCGGAGGCGCTTTGACCGCTGCTGAACTGCGATCACGGCAGGCAAATTTGCTCCCGGCTGGCGGGTCGCTTGGCCCAGGCGCCATGGAAAGGGGGTCTCAGAAGGTGCTGCTGGTTCCGGGACACTTTGACGGGTAGTTCCGTAAGCTGCTGCTTTGCTGGGGTCTTTCGCTCGGCCAGTTTTCAGAAGCCGGCCTCCGGGGTTCACGAGTTTGCTTTGTTGTGGTCAGCGTTTGAAACCCGCCAGCCGCGTTTTGCACCCATCGCCCACCGAGCGAAGATGCCCGGGAGCCAGGACAGTGCCTGACGTCCCTGCCATCTGGGGGGGGGTCTTTCGATCTGGACCCTTTCCACACCCTTAAGACCCCACCCTGTAGCATTCCGTGATATTTTATCCGCACAACCAGAATGGATTTCGGGGACCAAAAAATGCTTTTCCCAGCGTAATAGCGAATTGTCTCTTGTCTTCGCTTTCCCCTTCTCACCGTTGGGGAGAATATTCCTACGTTATGAATGGTCTGTATCACCATTCAGAAAAAGGCAGGAATAAGCCAATATCTAGGCAGACTGTCCCTGGATAAAGTGACTTTTCTTCTTTTAAGTTCTCAAAGCTCAGCTCAGAACTAGCCAGATATTTAACTGAGAATCCATCCCGGTCCATCCTTTGGAAAATAAGATTTCGGAGCCATCTTGCCCCCCCCAAAAAATGGCAACTGGATGTTCTGTTTTGGTGATGACAACCCTGGTTTAAGGATCTAACGCTCTGATCTGGGGCAGAACCCACGGAGTTCACCCTTGTTCTGTGCTGGTCAGGCTGAGTACAGTTTTGGGTGTGCCCCATTTAAAGCAGGGTGGGCCAGGATGGCGGGTGGGGGGCTGGAAGCCAAGCCTGTGTACACCTCTTTCATTTAAAGTACACCCCTTCCAGGGGGGGGGGAATTAGAATCCTGGAAACTGTAGTTTGGTAAGGGTGCTGGGAATTGTAGCTCTGTGAGGGGCGAACTACAGTTCTCCTCTGAGGAGGGGGTGAAAGAGGGAGGGGTGATATAATTTGGAGCAGGGAAGGCTAAAGGGCCCAGGGAGCAACGAAGGTGGTCTGCCAAGGATTCTGCCGTTGTAAGATCAGCACAGATTGGAGGGTCAGGCTGGATGGCCTCTGGGGTCCCCTGTGCATGGACAAGCAGCTTCCAGAACCCCCCTTTTTTTCGGTCTGCCGTTGGAGGCTTGAAGCCAGCCGACGTCCATTTTCACCGCAGCGCAAGGATGTTCCGTGCGACACGACGCTTGGTGAATGAATCTTTATTTGCGTCGGCCGCCGGCCATCGCAATAAAACAACAACGCGATATACAAAGAACAGAAATAAAAAGTCAATTATATAAAATACATTTTAGGGCTTTGAATCAATGGTCAAATAGTGGACCTGATTCTGATTGCCCCGGCTAAAAGCCTTGCCACCTTTGCTGTCACCTGCTCCTCTTGATCTGCCAAGAGAAAGGACCCTGGGGCAGTGGCTGGGCGACCCAGAACGGACAATAAAAGAGGGGTGATAATCTCATTCCTCAAGAGGGCAAGCCAGAAGGGCATGCGCCACCGATTCAGGGCTGCCATCTCTGCAGGGACGTTTTCTGTGTGGCATCTGTTGGCATCGTCCCTCAAGTCCAGCCAGGGCAAGACATTCAATCTCTCGGGAGGCTAAAAGCTCGGTGGCTTTCCACCAAAGGTCCAAGCAAGAGGCGTGCCTTGTGTTTGAGTTTCTGTCGGCCGCGAGGAGGCTGTGCGGCCAAAATCGAGGCCCGGGGGCGACGTGCTCACAGTCTTGTTTTCTTGCTTAGGGTGTGTGTGTGCAGCGGCGGCGGCTGATCTCGAGGCTTTTTCGCTCGGGAGGCATTGCTGAAAAGGCACCCTTTTGCAAAGTTGGCATATCGTCTGTTTCTCGGTGGTTAACACCTCTTCTGCGAAGGACCGGGTACCTGGTTCCCACACCCGCCGGCGAAGCTGGTTCTCAGGGGCTGAAATATTAACAGTGGAGGCAGAAGAAGTTTGCTTGGGGCAGGGGAAAAACAGAGAAATGTTGTCGTTTTTTTGCGCCCGAGCCTCGTCGTGTAGCAGAGTTGTTCCGGTTCTGCTTGTTAGGGGGCTAGCTTTCCTTTGGGGGGGCGTCCGGTGGGGGGGGGACACACAAGGCTGGACTAGACGGGTCCCCTTTTGGCCCAATAATTGGGCAGAGCCCTTCTTTTTCACGACTCCCAAGCGGAACCTCCATGGACAGAGCCAGTCGATCTTAGAACAAGGAGGTTTTCCTCTGGGCGAATAGGGTTTGGCCGCTGCCTGGGGACAGGACTTATGAGCGGACCTCCTTGGGCCTGATCCGACACCGCTGCAGGGCTCCCCCCTTTTGGGTGGCATCACGGCTGGGTTGGAGAAACCTAGCTCAGGCTGGGTTTCCTTTCCACCCCAAACCGGTGCTGCACTGCGGATCAGGCCGGGGACTCCCAGTCGCTTAGAACCTGCACCGAAACCATCCAGCTGTCTTTCACGACCAGTGCATTTTTTTTTCCTTTTAAAAAATGTTATGGGGTACTCTCATTTTGACTCAAGAAAATCGCCGGTTTTGTCGTTTAAATTGGGACAAATACGGCAGATGGACAAAAGGACAAAGATTCGCAAAACATTTAGGGGTATGCGCACCCCTGTGCCCCCCTCCCAGAAAAAAGCACTGTTTGTGGGTCCCCTTGCGGCCCCCGCAGAAATCTCTGGGCGCCGGGTCTGAGGCTGGGGGAAGCGAAACGCCCTTATAGTATATTGTATTTTAAAATGGGGTTTCAGAGTTTTTAGGGGGTTTTGAATGTTTTATGTAGATTTTCAATTTCATTGTTCTGTAGGGGACAATGACAATAAAGGTATCGTATATCGTATCGTATATCTTGGAGAAAAGGACCTGGAATGTTTTCCCGCGGAGCTTGAATTCGTTTTATTCCGGGTGGCTTCTGACATGCTTGCAAACCGCTTTTGAGATCTGTTCTTTGTGGTATAGAAACGGAAATAATAATAATAATAATAATAATAATAATAATAATAATAATAATAATAATAATAATAATGTCCTGTCGTGGGGAGAGGATAGCGCCTGGACATTGCATTGCACCCAGGTTTAAGGTGATGAGATTATATATCTGGGTTTCTAACACCGCCCTGGACTCTTCCCTGCTCCGAATTAATCTGCTAATTTTGACGGTAGGGGGGCCACCAACACCACGGGTGTTTCGCTGGGGGGGCTGAGGGGGAGGCCCTTTTCCCGCAGCCGAAAAGAGGGCGAAGGAAAAACTGCCCGGTGGAGGAAAGGGAACCAGAGCGGCTGCTTCTTTTGTGCGAAACCTCAGCCTCTCCCGGTTCCTCTCTGCCAGCCTGGCGCCAGTCTCGCTTCAAGAAAGGGAAGTGGGGAAGAAATCGTCGCCTGGCCAAGTTCCAGGCTTGCGGCTGCCTACCGGGTCGGGGTGGCAGAGAGAGAACCAGGGACGGCTGCGGGCAGGACACCTCCCTCCAAGGGGGTTGGGCTGGATAACCTTTAGAGGGCCCTTCGAACTCTGCGATTCTAGGGTGCCACCCTCGTGCCCGGGCCCGCAAGCCGCTAGTCCTCAACCGCTGCCGAAACCCTCATGTGGGTCCTCTGGGCTTTTCGGGGAGCGAGAGGCAGTGAGAATCCCATCTCCCCCTCCCCAGAAAAAAACACCAAAGCTGTCAAACACTGAAATACGCCTATCGCTAGCTGCAGAGCTAACCCACCCCCTTAAAAACCCCACTTTCTTTTTGCGGGGTGGGTGAGTCCGAGGCATGTCCTTGGAGGGTCTGGGGGGACTTGGCGCGTGCCCCCCCAGCCGAATTTGCGGAGACGGGGGGGACAACGGGACACATTTGAGCAGGCTTGGTGCCTCAATTTCAGGATTTTTTGGCCAGGAAAAGAGGGGGGCATTGTTGCGGATTTGGCTGTGCGAAGCAGAATTCTAGGCAAAAGCTGGGGAGGGGGGGTTCCTGAGCTGCCAATTTAGGGTTAGGTGGGCTTCCCTAGACACCCCCCGTTCCAAACACTGCCCCCCCTTGCCCCTTATGGTAAGTAACCTCTCCCTTTCTTCCTCTTGTTTCTCCCTTCTCCCCAACCCCTCCCTCTCCTTTTCTTCCTCGGTTCCCCCCCCCATTTTTTTTCCTTTTCTCTCTCTCTTTCTTTCTCTCGTTCCCTCTCTCTCTCTCTCGACCTTTTCCAGGTAAATCTCCTCCTGTCATCCATGTCGGCTCTTCCGATTTTGACAAGCCCCCCGACCTGTTTCGGCCGTTCGGGGCTGACACCAGCGACCCCTTTCACAGTAGAAAGGGGTTTGGGGACCTTTTTAGGGGGAGAGACGGATTTTCTCCCCCCTCGGCAGGCAAAGCTCCCAAGAACCCTTCCTCCACGGGATTTGCTGACTTCACCTCTGTAAGTTGACATTCCTTCGATCTGGATGGAAAAAGGAAAAAAAAAAACGGGGCGGGGGGCTTTTTTGGGGTCGTTTCCCCCCTCCTCTTCCTCCTCCCCCTCCTCCTCCTCTCCCTTCCCTCTCCCCCCTCTGGCAGTTTCTATCTCTTAGTTCCCCCCAAATCCCTCTCTCCTCTCATAGAACCATAGAACTGTAGTTAGACGGGACCCCCAAAACTCATCTAGACCAACCCGCTTCCTCCGTAGTTCTGCATTAGTCCCTCTGTATGTCCCCAGGGTTTTGATTCGCTGGAAGCCGCCCAGAGTGGCTGGGGCAACCTAGTCAGGTGGGCGGCATATTATTATTATTATTATTATTATTATTATTATTATTATTATTGCAGTGGTACCTTGGTTCTCAAACGCCTTGGTTCCCAAACGCCGCAAACCCAGAAGTGAGTGTTCCGGTTTTCGAATGTTTTTCGGAAGCCGGACATCCGACGTGGCTGTCAGCTATTGTTTCCGGGGCGCCTTGGTTTCCAAACATTTCAGAAGTAAAACGGACTTCTGGAACGGATTAAGTTTGGCGCTTTGGTTTTCGCTCTTTATTTTGCGGGGGGGGTTTTGAGGCTTTTTGGGTTCATTTGTTTTTGTGGCTGTGTGGAACCCAGTTCAGCTACTGATTGATTGATTGATTGTGTGACTGCGGAAATGGATAAAAGCCCCCCCATCCAAACAATGAACTCTCACCAGTGCAGATAATTTTAATTTTTATCATCTACAATAATGCCTTGCTTATTTTATAGCACAGCACATTGATTCTTGCTTTCGTTTTATGGACCGATGGTCTCGTTAGATAGTAAAATCCACGTTAAATGGCTGTTTTAGGGGTTGTTTTTAAAAGTCTGGAACGGATTAATCCGTTTTGCATTCCTTTCTATGGGAAAGCAGTGCACCTTGGTTTTGGAACGCTTTGGTTTTGGAACGGATTAAGTCTGAGAGCCAAGGGACCACTGTATTAAGCTTTGAGTCTGGTGCTGTTTGCTTGGAGATGTTGGTCGTGGAGAGCACTCTCCCTTTCTCTCCTGAGTTGGAGATATTTTTGGGGGGGAATCCCCTTCCTGGAAATGTTTGGGGCGTAGGAAAACCGCCTTATTGCGTTGCTCCGTAAGCTAAGACTCTAGTCCTCAAGGTTTTGCAATAAAGGGCTGGTTTCAGTAGGGACTGAAATGTGTGAATCTCCTTCCTTGCAGCGAGAGATGCCTGGCTAGCGTCTTAATTATTTCGTTCAGCTTATTAGTCTTGGAGGAGTGTGTGTGTGTGTGTTAGCAAAAGGAACTCAAAGCCACGTTGTGGATCTTTATTCTAACAGCAGGTTTGGCGTTGAGCGTTTGACACAGAGAGAAAGAGAGAGAAGCGTTCAGCTGATAAACAGGAAAACCTGCGATGGTTTTATTTTTAATTCTTTTTTCTTCTTCTTTTTAATTTCCGAGGCACCTTCAAACTTTCTCACCTTCCTGGCTTGAGTTTTTGGGGTTTTTTGCTGAGCCGTCCCATCCATTTCCCCAGCGAAAAACCAGACTTTGCAAAAGGAGGAGGAGGCCGGTGAAATCGCCGCTGCAGTTTTCGGTTTATTACGGTCGCGGGCCGGCGTTTTAAAAATAGCTAAAATACAATGGTGAAAGCAAGATGCAATGATTTATTTTGCTTTATTTTTAAAAAACCGAGCCAGAATAAGATCAGGGAGACGAGAGTCGCTGAGCCGGAGGTTAAAACAACTAAAAGAATCGCAAGGTTTCGTAAATAGCCTTATTGTGCTGCTATAGGGCTGGGTGTCCTTTAGGGAAGATTTAAATGTTTTATTGCCTTATTATTATTATTATTATTATTATTATTATGGCTACGATGCGTCCAGAATTTCCCAGGCATAGCTGGGATTCACCCGTCAAATATAGCGGAATTTTGTAAAATGGGTTAAAATCTCCGTTGCTTTTTTTGCCGGATTTTCTATTATTTTTTTAAAGTCAAAAACTTTCTTTGGAGATTTTGCAAAGAAAGCTCAGCGATATTTTTTCTCCGGACTCTCACCGTTTGAAACAGGGCAAACCGTCCTCTTATGTCCTTGATTTTTGTGTGGGTCCTCCCCTCTTTTATCGGGGGAACTGCCGGCTGCCTTCCCTCCGGGAATGGGAAAAGGGTTTGCAGCCAGTGGCGGGCAGTTCCCCTGGCTCTTAGCCCTGTGTATGTGTGTGAGAGAGACAGAGAGACCGTACGTGGTGCAAATAGGAGTCGATAGTCTGATTCCCACGCCCTTCGTGGCTTTTTGGGGAGGAGGGTTGAAGGAAAACATGGGGTCCCCCTGCAGTGTGAGCTGCCCTCAAAGTTCTGGCTAGAGCACTGAGCTCTGAGAGTCGGACCGGGACACCAGTGGGTCATCTAGACCAACCCCGCACGAGGCAGGATTTAAATGGGGCAAAGAGAGCCCAGTCAAACTGAAGGGGGGCTAGTCCAGTCCTCACAGGGGTCCCCCAGATGCAGCCTCCGTGGGGAACCCCAAACTCGCTCTAGGCGTGCGACGGGACCAGGAGGGGGCCCTTCCCTGATAGAACCAGGTGCTGCTTTTTTCAGAGGGGGGGGGGAAGGAAGGGAAAGTGGGAGCGGGGCCCCCACCATCCCTTCCCATGATGGAAGTATGGTGGCCCCTAGGGAGAGATTTGGATAGGGGGCCCTCCAGCGGTCATCCATCCCAACCCTCTCTTTCTCTTTCTCCAGCTTGGCAATGAGGAGCAGCAACTCGCCTGGGCAAAGCGAGAGAGCGAGAAGGCGGAGGAGGAGCGCCTGGCGCGGCTGAGGCGGCAAGAGCAGGAGGACCTCGAGCTGGCCATCGCCCTCAGCAAAGCGGACATGCCCGCCTCCTAGGGGGCTCTGGGGGGGGCTTCCCTCTCCTCCCCCTTCCGCCGCTCCCTAGACCACCGTCTCCGATCCGCCGACCCCGGTCTCCGTTCTTTCGACGCGGCGAAGCGAACCGCCTCTCCGTGGCGCCGCATCCGGCGCAGGGAAGCCCCTCTCTGCGGGGAAAAGGACGCGGGACTCGCACGAGGATGCCGTCTCCTTGCACAGATGGACAGGTGGGGGGCTGCCCCCTGAGAAGCTGCTCCCCCACCCCCTGGTGAACTCAGCTGGCCGTTCCCCCCCCCCATTCCTTTTAATTTTTGCCCTCTGCCCGCCGGAAAATACCCTGGACCTCTCGCTCTTCGAAACCTCCCATGGGGGGGGCTTGGGTGTTGCTCAGCTGTGCCAGCCTTGGGGTGGGCATAGGGCAGGGGGGTGGGGAAAGAAGACGGCCCCCTCTGCCTTTTTCCCCCTTTGTTTGCAGCGCTCTCAATGTGGATTACTTTGCACCCCCTTTTCTCTCCCCCCACCCAAAACCCCCCAGGCGCCCCGATTCCTAACGCTCTCTTTGATCGCCCAGGAAAACCCCACTGCTAACGGCCCCCGCCCCCCCGGCAGCCTCGAACGTTCGGTTAACCAACGCCGATTCATACCGAAACCGGGGGAACTTAAAATACGTTGCGGCCTCGAAGGGCAGGTCGGTGTGTTTATCTCTCTCTTTCTCTGTATTTCTGCCTGAAAAACATCCTGGAAAGTCTCGAGAAAAATCACTGGGGAGGCCAAGCAGCGTCTTCTGAGCCGTGGGGCAAGAGGGGGGTCTCCGTTCCGGAGTGAGGGGGGCAACACAGGCGAGAGCAGGGGGCAAATTCAGGGCTGCAAGCGGGTTCCTTTTGGGCACGTGGGTGGGGGTCCGAGTGGCGCGTTGGGGGGCCTTGTGCACCCCCTGGGACGGCTGCTCCTCCTGCAATAGGGGCATCTCCCCCTTGAAGGGGTTCCTTCTCCCCCAGGCCAGGAAAACCTCCGGATTCCCAGCCTCTGTGCAGAGATGGGACCCCCTAAATTCTGCCCCCTTGCCCTCCCCAGAACAGCTTTTCCTCCTTCCAGAAGGCCGGCCCTCCTTCCACCTTCTCCAGGGGCCTCTTGACCCCGGTGCCTTTGCCCTGGGGGGGCTGAGGGCTCCCCACCGCCCTTCCCCACCCATTGCGGGTGGGGTGGGGGCTTCTCTTGCCCTCCCACCCCCTCTCCGAGGCGCCCGTTCCCCCTACGGCTGTGGGATCCGAGACCGGCTCCGTCCTTCCCTCCCAGCTCCGGTGGAGAATCGGGGCCACCCCCGGGGGTCCGCTCCCCCCCCCAGGCAGGAAGATCCCATTGGCCCACAGAAGCACCCAGAGACACCAGCCCCCTTTGTGTGGGGAGGGGTTCGGCCAACCGCTTAGTAGCTCCAAACGGATGGGACAAATTCGGGCGTCAAGGCTTCAGGAGAGAGTCGGGTCCTCGGCCGGTTCTTCTTTGGAGGAGGAGAACCCAAAGGAGAACCCCCTGTCCCTCCCCCCCACACACACCCCAGGAAGGACCAGATCCGCGCCTTCCTTTGGGGTCCCCATCCGCCTCCATCTTGCGGGCTGAGAAGCTGGGGAAATGTGCCGCCGCAGCCTCCAGATCTATTACAGTTTTTTGTATTTTTAATTTTCCCCCCCCCGCCCCCCCCGGTGTATATTGTCCCCACCTGCCGTCTCCTCAGCAGCCCCCCCCCCTCCAGGACGCGACCCATCCCCTTGTGATATAGAGAAATGTAGATATATATAGGAGATTTTATATATGTATATATCTGGGGGTGAACGTGCCGAAGGACCTTGCCTCTGAGGGCTGCCCGCTGCGAAAACGTAAATCCGCCGGCCTCGTGTGTCGCTCTTGTGTGTGTGTGTTTGTGTGTGTGTGTGTGTATATATATTTAGTCCCTAAGATCTGGAAATGAAAGAGCGATTCTTGTGGTTAGAATCTCAAGCTTCTGCCAAACAAGAAAGAAAGAGGTTAAAAAGTCTGTTTCTCTCTCGCTCTCGCTGCAAATTCTTGCTTCTCAAATATAGGGGGCACGGGTAAATGCAATTCGCTTCTTGAGTGTGGCGTTTTGGGGCTGCAAGAAATACGTGTGCAGGCACCCCCCCCAAAAAAAAAAAACCAACACTCCCAGGGGTGGGGTCTTAATCCTGCACCCATTTCTCTGTGTGTTTGTGTGCGAATGAGAGAGAGAGAGAGAGAGAGTTTTCTTCAGTTTCCTTTCCTGTTGGCAGAATCAGCCACGGTTTTTGGTTGACCCCGGAGGGGGAGCGTGGGGCTCCCTTTTAGCACCCCAAAACTACTCCTAGCCCCCCCCCCCGGGGAGAGGGATGGGCAAGGCTGCCGCTTGTGGGGAGGGGCGGCCAAACCCAGACAGGGCTTCCTCCGTCTTGGGGGGGGGGCACGGCGCAAAATGTGCCAGAATGTGCATTTAGAGTGGGGGGCATATAGAGCTATCCTGCACCCCTCTTTACAGCCCATGGGGAATCCTGGGAACTGCAGTTCGTGGGGGGCGCTTTGCAAGGGTGGGTGCTTGCGTCCGTCAGTCCTTCAATTCGGGTCCCCCACCTAGGAGCTTTCTTCGGTCATGGGGGACCCTCCAAATCGCCCCCGGCTCCCAATCCGGTTGTCGCAGGGTTTTGGTATTAAATGGACGCCCCCCCTTCCCAGTTTCTCCTCTTGTGTTTCACCATCAGTGTTTTCCACACTCTCGCACCCCCCTGCCACCCCAAGGCACTCATCTTGTGGCTCTTAATATCCACGCCGTCGTACCCCCCCCCCACTTCATTTCATGTGGGACGCAAACCGGCTGCTATCTCTCTTCTCCTCTGCCTGCCCCCCTCCGCTAGGAACTCTTCTCGGCTGCTTCCAAGTCCTCCTTAGAGTAGACCCATCAGCCCAAGCGGTCTCTTGCTTGCAGAGCTCCCTTCTTCAACAAAGTTTAAAGTCTTTACATTTTTTGGTGGAGGAGAAATCAGTCTCTTTCATTTCCTCTCCTCCCTTGGTTGCTTCTCTCTGTTTTTTTTTGGGGGGGGTTGAGCAACTGTGCCCCCCCCCGGACCTCAGGCACCAGAAAAGTCACTCCTGTGCATCAAATTGAGCTTAGGGGTCTCTCCAAGGGGGCAGAGGGATTTGGAACAGTGGGGAGGGAGAGAGGGGTTTTTTTTGGGGGGGGAGATGTGTGTGTGTGTGTTGCTGCTGCTGCAAGGGGAACCAAGAAGCCCCCCCACCCCGTCACCCGGCACATCCTTTGGACCTCGGCCACGCTGCCCCCCACTCCCCCCCACCAGGAGATCGGCTGATGATGTATTATATATCCAGACATGTACATGACTGTATCTATGCTCTTGGAATTACCCTATAGCAAAGGGGGTGGGGAGTAGGGCGGTGGGGGGGCAGCGGGGTGGAGAGAAGGTTTGCCGGGAGGGGGGGGATGTTTGAATTTTAACCCATGCTCTGTGTTTTATTGTTTAATATAAGAGAAATGTTATTGTTTAATATAATAAATGAAAAAGTTACTTATTTTGGAGCATCCGAGACTCTGGGATGGCTCTCTCTCTCTCTTTCCCTTCTTTTTTTGGGGGGTGGGGGGGTCGGGAGCTGAGTGGGTCAGACCTGCTCATATTTCTGCCCCCATATGTTTGGGGTCTTCCTCCCGGCGGTTCCGGTGTCCTCTGTAGCCACAGAGAGTCTCCCCTGTCCTGTCTCTAGTCCTCCTCTGTTACAGGGAGGGGGGGCATGGAAAATGGTCCTCCATGCAGAGGCACACGCCCCCCCCCCGCCTGCTCCTCCTCTGGGGGTGACCTGGACCCCTTGACCTCTGCCCCACCGGCTTTCCTGGCTCTTTCCAGTTGCCCACAAGTGGGGGCTGGCTTCAGAGGAGCTCCCTGTTCCCCATCTCCAGCTACACTGGAGGAAAGAGGCTGGTGGGAACTTCGCAGGAAGCACTGGGGGGGCTGGCTGCCACCCCCACCCCACCCCACTTAACTCCAGCCCCCTTGGACATTGTACACCAGCGGCCCACCACATTTTCCAGACACCTTCGTGGTGAGGTTTGGGCAGCCGTGAGGGCAGGGAGAAAGCCATCGGGGAAACCCCTGGGGTTGTAAACAGCCGAGTTACGTCGGCGCTTATAGAATCGCCAAATGGCATAGTTGATAAGGGACCCCCAGGGGTCATCCATTCCAACCCCCTGCAATGCAGGAATGTTGTGCGGATGCCTGATGATCGTCTTCCAAAGCGACTCCTCTATTCCGAACTTTTAAATGGAAAGCGTAATGCTGGTGGTCAACAAAAGAGGTTCAAAGACTCTCTCAAGCCAAATCTTAAGAAATGTAGTATAAACACCGGCAACTGGGAAACACTGGCCTGCGAGGGCTCCAGTTGGAGAACAGCCTTTCCCAAAGGTGTTGTGGGCTTTGAAGACACTCGAACTCAGGACAAGAGGGAGAAACGTGCTAAGAGGAAGGCACGCTTGGCAAACCCTCACCGGGATCAACTCCTGCGTGGAAACCTATGTCCCCACTGTAGAAGGACGTGTGGGTCCAGAATTTGCCTCCACAGTCGCTTACTTTATGTTTATGGAAGACAATCTCACTCGGCTACTACGAGGGATCGCTGAAGAAGAAGAATGCAGGAATCTCAGCTAAAGCAGTTGGTTGGAGCATGGTGCCAAGGAACCAGCCAAGGCTGCAGGTTCGATACCCGCATGGGGGCAGCTGCATTGCAGGGGTTTGGACTAGATGATGCTGTGGGGTCCCTTCCAACTCAACAGTTCTGTCCCTGAGAGGTGACTGTCTGACCTCTGCTTAAAAACCAGAAACCTCCAAGGAACGGAGACCACTTTCGGAGGGAGTTCGATGCACCTTGCAGGAGGTCGAGGGCGCACCTTGAAGCCAGCGGCATTTGAAGAAGGCGGGGAGGGCAAATGATGGTGTGTGTTTGTGTGTCCCCAAGTCTCCCGGTCCCTGAGCCGCCCCCCAGCCTGCCCCTTTGGGGTTTGGCCTCTCCGCTTGCTGGTGAACCTGTGCGCTGTGGTCGGAACGGGAGCCGGAAAGGGCTGAGGCCATTGCAACAACAATCGGAGCCCATCATCGCCGCCGCGCTTCCTGCGCCCGCGCTCGGAGCTGCAACCAAGTTGTGCAACCTCGGCTTTCTGCAGAATCTGGAGCCGCGGGGTTGCTTCCTCCAAGGCTCTCCTCTTCTTCCTCCTCCTCCTCCTCCTGCTGGCCAACTTTGCAGGACTGCCCTCCTGCCCCCTTTCCAGAAATGACAGCGTTTCGCTTTTTTCGTTGCTTATTTCGGCAACGGCCTTTAAATAGCTCCCCAGTCATTTTCTGCAAAGCGGTCTCTCATTGCGGGGAGAGCTAATTCGGGCAAACCTTTTTTTGGTGAACAACAACCGACACCCCCCCCCCCCGCCGCTCCATGCAAATAGCGAGAGCCTGTTTTTTCCTTTCTCCGCGCTGCCCGGTTAACCCGTGAACCTTCCTGGGCTCACCTTCCTGGGCTCACCAGGAAAGAATTTGCGGGGCGCTTCTGCCTGTGCGCAATGCGCTTCCAGAAAGAACCCTTTGCGGAGCTGGAAGAGGTCTAGAAATGGCGAGAGTCCGGAGCGACTCCCAGAGTGGGGTTGCGGGGAGGGGAGAGATTTGGAAGAACAGCGTGCGTAAAGGCGCGAGTTTAGAAGTTTTTATTCCTCTTGAGAATACTTAGAAACGCCGCCGGCTATCCAAAGGCAGGCGCAAGGAAGGGGTACCCTGTGGCATTCACTGCCCCAAACTGAAAAGGAGAATCGGATAAATTCAGGGCTGCCAATGGCTGCGATCCTCTTCGGGCAACGCGCAGCCTGTGATGCTCTGCGCACTTGCAAGAGGTGCCCGTTCCAGTTTGCAGCAGGGTCAATTTTATTCCACCTCCCACAACCTGGGGCGCGTCAGGTGGTTTTAAACTATAGCTCCTTTCCTAAACCCAAGCCTGCGCTTGCTGTTAATAGTCGAAATAATTAAGAGACAACGTGTGTGTGTGTGTGTGTGTGTGTGTGTGTGAGAGAGAGAGAGAGAGAGAGAGAGAGAGAGAGAGAGAGAGAGAGAGAGCAGCGAAGGGATCTAAATTCTCTCCAAAGTCCCGCAGTTTTGCTGACTCTCTCAATAAGCTATATTGGGTAAGCGGCTTTGTGAGCACCTCCGAGGGCACAATCCTGCGCCTTTTGCACACACACCCATTTCCCCTCTCCTCCTCCTCCCCCACCCCTGAGAAACAGAAACGAACTGCAACCTCGCTCTGCTTCTGCGCGGTTTGCTTTGCGGGAGGAGACGTTGGTTTCTTGCAAAAAGGGTTTGGTGGCGGTGGTTGTTTTTGCAAAAAATCTCTGCAGCCCCGCCGCGTCACCCCCTTTTTGTCTTTTTTTTTATGGCGCCGTGGAAACTGCGAGCCCAGCAATCACAAAGTGTCCAGATACAAACCCCTGGAAGGGAAATGGCGGGGGCTGATTTGCAGAGATGCGATAAAGAGGGTCAGAAAACGACTCTCTGGAGCGTGGAGGAAGATGCGCGCCTCTCACGCAGTTTGTACGCACCGCAAGCGGGTGGCGGGCGCGTTTAGGGATCTAGTTAGCGAAGAAACTACCTTTCTCTCTTCCAGCGTCTCCATCCGCCCACCCCCAGCCTTTGGGGAACAGCAGCAGCCGTCCTGCATCCCCCCCCTTCAAAAAAGGACTCTGCAATTACTGACATGCCGTGTTTACGTTTCACATTAAAATACCCACACGCGCGCAAAACCAGCTTGCCCGCAGAGCCCGGCCGCGGGCACAGCTGCCGCAGCATCTGGAAGAGATTTCAGGGCGCTCCCGAAATAGCTGTCGAGTAAACTAAAAATGAGACTCAGATTATAGCCTTGGGTTGCTTTTGAACCGGAGAGCCGTTTCTGGTGCAAAGCATTCGCCCTGCTGCGGTCCGTGCCCGGGTCTATTTCTTGCGCGCTGAGGGCGTGGGGGGGGCAGGCGTAGGATTTTGGGGGAGCTGGGAGGGGGTAGGTTATGGGCACCTATAGGTCCAAGGAATAACAACAGCAACAACCATCTTTTTGGGCCGGGGGCTTGCACCTGCCCT